AAACTCCATTTTCATCACTGGCCGTATCAGCATTATGGTTGCCCTCAAAGGGCTGGTTGTATCTGTAAGACTAGATGTCCAGAGCACCCCACCCCCATTACATCAGATATCAAGAAATCCACACTCTCCCTAACATCACCATGCACCCCCTTTGGGGGCAGAGCTGGAAAGCAGAAAGTGCAGAGTCTGGAGGAGGACCAGAGGAGGAGTGGAGTCAGTTACCAGAGTCTGCTGAATACTGGGGAGGCAGAGATGAGGGGGTGCTGCAGCTGCACTGAGAGCTGCAGGATTTGGCAGAGGAGTTCTATTCTCCTCTCTGCTGCTGACTGCTGAGACAAGGTGGGGGCGGAGACCAGGGGGTACCTGCAGGAGAGGTGCAAGGGCCACATAAAATGGCCTGGAGGGCCGGATTTGGCTCATGGGTCTTGTGTTTGACACCTGTGAGTTAACCCATGCTTTCCCACAGACTTCTTTCAGTTTGGGAGATTTCAGTGCGTTTTTTGAAAAGTCTATAGCAAAGTGTGGGTAAACCGCACACAAATCGTGGGTACACTGCGCTGCAGCCAAACTGCAGCGGATCATTATGAAACCAGCCTTACATTGAATGTTGTTTTTCTTCAGGAAAATCCATATATGTCAACATTGAATGCTAAAACAAACTGTAAAGTACTTTCAAATTGAATGTATTGGTGAGAATTTTAGTAAAAATCTTCGTTCAAGCATTTGTTTGACACTCTACTAGTGTATGGCCAGTTTAAACAGCAACCCATAAGCTATCATTTTTAGGAATTCTGCTACAAACATAGATACCTGAGGCCAGTATGATCGTGCCTGCATGCCTGACTTATTAGTGTCATTGGGCAGCTTTAACCATACCTATGGTAGTTCAGTGAAACAGGGTTCAGGAACTTAGGCCTCATTCACATGGGCATGGGATTATATACATTTATAGGACATTTCTAAACACATAATGCAATTAATTTACACAGTAGAAAGCACACTATGCGTTTACTTGTGTTTAGGTACAATCAGTTTACCTGCGTTCCAAAAAAATATATATATATTTGTAGCCAGGGGAGATAATCTGCGGTTGATTTACTAAAGGAAAATAGACTGTGCACTTTGCAAGGGCAGGTGCACTCTTAAATGGCATTTGCTATTTGCTCCAGAGCTTAGGAAAAGATCATTTTCTCCCGAGTTCAAATAAAAAAAAAAAAAAGAAGCAGGTCCATGACTGTCTTACTGTACACTGCACATCATTGCTGCTCTTTGAAATATCAGAGTAAATACCAATCTGCCTAAATACCTACCATGAACTCCCCTGCAGCCTCATTTACCTGCAGGAGCACCTACCTAAACAAATTGCTGCCTATGTTCTGACCCAACACAGGGTCAGAGCTTACACAGGGCTTAGGACCTACCCATATGAGACAACGATCGGGTGTCATAATTGGCCATTTAGGCACTTGGCACTGCAATGTGATGAGGTAGGACAGAGTTATGTGGCACAACTACATACCCAGAATTACCTGAATTTGCTTTGTGTTGCAGTGGGCAAAACAAGTGGAAGGTATGTGCTGCTCCTCTTTTCTGCACTGCCTGCATTTTTTCTTGTTTTTTGTGTTTTCCATAGAATTTGTAATACAGTATATACTACATAATAAATTGAACTACATGCCTATCCAAATATCTCAGTTCTTTACAAATCTGATCATTACCTTCATTCTTACTGGTTAAAGCTGAAAAATGAGAGTGATTACACTTTTTATGGTGGTGGAAGAAGCATGTCAAAGTGTCCACAAAGTCCACAATAAGCCTCTCTGCCATACTTCCAATTATGTGAAAAACACAATGATTATTTCTCTGTAAATCTGGATTACAATAATACATGATCAAAGACTGTTTCCTGCAAATTGTCTGAAAGGCAAGGTTGGTTTATGACCTCTTCTAATAAGCAGGGAAGGAAAAGACTGTAGGTCAGTAGCTGAACATCCATGGTCCATCTAACATAGACAATCTGTGAGTCAGGTCCCCATACATTTTTTGGGGGTCAAAGATTTTGGGCTATGCCATCATATATTCTAATAGACAACAGAGTGGCATAGTGGTTAGCACTTCTGCCTGGCATCACTAGGTTCATCAGTTCAAATCCCAACCAGAACACTACCTGCCTGGAGTTTGCATGTTCTCCTTGTGCTTGTGTGGGTTTCTTCCCATGCTCTACAGAGATGCTGGTAGGTTAATTGGCTCCTGTCTAAACTGGCCCTAGTATGTATGAATGTGAGCTGGACCTTAGACTGTAAGTTCCTTGAAGGCAGGGACTGAGGTGAATGTACAATATACAGTATATGTCAAGTGCTGTGTACATTGTCTGCACTATATAACTACCAATAATAATACCATTCCACTGGACTTTGCTGTAATCTTGGCATCTAGATTGTAAGCTCCAAGGAGCAGGGCCCTCCTATCCCTCTTGTATTGAAATGTATTGTTGCTGTATTGTCTCCCGTTATATTGTAAAGCGCTGAGCAAACTGTTATATAAATCCTGTATAATAATAATAATAATAATAAGCTGATTGATAATTGGAATGCAAGAAAATACACTCTGCCAGAGGGAAAGTGATTTGTTTGCCCCTGGGCCCCTAAGGCCTTATACAAAAATAGGCATTGTGTTGAAGTCAAGGTGTAAGTAGACAGCTAAATACATTTTAAACACAGTAGAACTACATGGAAAACTTTTTTTTTTACATTTTGGATAGAATAAGGGAGGGTTATAACCCCTGTTGGGTTATTTTTTTGCCATCTGGGTCCCATTGGGGAGATTTTCCTTCATGTCCTGTCCCATAGTCATAACAGGAAGTGAGAGAAAATCCCTGCAAATTAAGGGGTCCTTGGGGTCACCAGAACTAGTGTCCCATTGGAATATTTCCCCTCTATTATTTTTTCTGCGGACAACCCAAAATTTGGGGTTTTCTTTTGCTTTCACTTTTGATGATAAACAGAACAAACAGAGAGGATGGATCTCCCTAATAAGGACATAGACTGCAATAAAAACCTAATAGGTGTTCTAATCCATCTCTTCTCTGTCCAAAACTTCAAAAATAGTTTTTCCTTCAGTTATACTTTGTGTGATATTGTATCTTTTTGGCTAATTTTCAGGTTGAGATACCCTTGTCAAACAGCACAACTAGGTTCTGACCTCCTATTTTTACCGATATTGGTATCAGTGCCGATGGTAAGAATTTGCACAAGTATTGGTACTCATGCAAATGCATCGATACTAAAAACCGATACCTTGTCATGCGCACACACAGAAGCCCAGCTTGTGTGTGTAGAAGTAACAGACTCCTCTCCTGGCGGTGTGCGCTCTGTAGTAATATAGCAGAGGGGGCCTCCTCCTCTGCTGTATTACTAGTCATTGGTTGTTAGGACCGCTGCCGTCATAGCAGCCAATAACGTCACATGTGTGCCCTACCCTACAGCACGCTTCTCCTCCCAAGCCTCCCAGCTGCCGTTGCCTACCTGCCGGGCTCTATGCAGTGAGTCTACAGGTATAGTGAGACTCTGATAGGGGAATCAGATGTATTGGGGGCTCTGATGGGGAATATTATGTAAGAAGGATCTGATGTAAGGGGGCTCTGATGTATGGGGGCTCTGATGAGGGTATCTAATGTATGGGGGGCTCTGATGGGGGAATTTAATGTGTGGGGGGCTCTGATGTGGGAATCTAATGTATGGGGGCTCTGATGTAAGGGAGACTCTGATGGGGTAATCTGGTGTAAGGGGGGCTCTGATGGAGGAATCTGATGTATGGGGGCTCTGATGGGGGAATCTGGTGTAAGGGCACTCTGATAAGGGAATTCGATGTAAGGGGGACTCTGATGGAGGAATCTGATGTATGGGGGCTCTGATGGAGGAATCTTATGTAAGGGGGGCTCTGATGGGGGAATCTACGGAGGTATGGCGGTTGTGCTAATCCTTCCTGCGAGGGATACCGAGGAGTGGCTGAATGGTGGGACCCCAAAAGAGTACTGTCTGGTGCTGGGGAGAGCCCTGATCAGCCCAATGATGGAGGACATGGAGATGTGAGGAGGATCCACTGATCTACAGTGTACTGAGTGTGGGGGCTGTACAGAGGGCTGGAAATCACTTCCCAGCAGATGTGCAGGACTTTCCAGTCAGAGTTAGTAGGAGTCAGGTAGGTCAAGGTAGGAATCAGGTAGGTCAGTCAGTATAGTAGTCTGGTAGGTCAGTGCAGGAATCAGGTAGGTCAGTATAGGAGTCAGGCAGGTCAGTCAGTGTTGTAGTCAGGTAGGTCAGTGTAGGAATCAGGTAGGTCACTTTATCGCACTGCTCCTGTGTGAACCCAGGCTTGTCATATTGATTATAGCCTGGTTTCACAGAGGAGTGGTGTGAGAAACCTCAATTGATTCAGACAGGAATCGCACCACATTCCTATTCAAATCACATGTGATTCATTGCTGTACAAGTTGAGCCCATACATTTTGTAAGAGCGCAAATCGCACCGCACGAAAAATAGGTATCTGTAATTGGTATCGGAGAGTACCTGATAAAAATGAGAAAACTGGTATCAGTGCAACTCTAGTATTTTCTGCATTTGAAGAAATGTAGCTTGGCCAAAGACTGTTCAAGCTTGTGATTGGATAGTGATGTGGTAGTAACCCACTGATGATGCCAGTGCTGTGCTCTCTATCAGCCAGCACCTTGTTCTCTGTAATAGAGTCAGATTGCTTTATGGAATTCTCCCCAGGTTAACTTAGGCTGAATCTTCTTGGCTTCAATTAGCCACAATAAAGGACATAATATGGGCCAGCTAATTTATTTATTGACCTCTCGTTCACTCACAAAGAATCTTGAAAATCCAAGTATTGTTCATACGCTTTATTGTATTAACAGTGCCATTATTCAGAAACGGTATTGCATAAGACATTGGAATATGGAATGCTGTGAAGATTTGCTCTACTCTGAGTTGGATGTTTAGACTATGTTTTTAACGGCTTTCACAATAGCATCTTTATCGATACAAAACATCTTGAGAAGCTCTGCTGGTTTGCCACTGCGAGGAACTCCGGATACTGCCAATGACTTCACTGTAATTCCAGGCTCTCCAACCATAGCAGCTGCCACTGCCTCTCCAAAACCACCTAATGTTTGAACACAGATTTCTGATTTACTTTTCTTTTTATAACATGTTAATAACAACACATTGAGAAATACATAATTTACAACAAATTGGGAAATCTGTATATTATAAATCACTACATGAACTTAACACTCTAGTTGATAACTAAATTTAATGATAGTACCTTCTCCCTGTAACTCATATTTTTTTAACCATCTTTAAAAGACCACAATGCGTAATAGACAGGATAGGCAATTACAAACAAATTAGATTTTTTTCCCACATTTCCTTGCCATTCAATATATATATGTTAGAAATATAATGTTAAAGTGAGCTTAGGCTTCAGAAGACGAGGATGGTTAGATGTGCAGGTACAACCCAGCTGCCAGCTTAGAGAATAAACATGCATGACTGGGTTGCCCAAGTACATAGGGTTTTAGCTATAGGGCAAGAAACCTTTACCAATGGTTAACCACCAATCAACAGGCAAGGTTTGCTAACCTGCACTACTGATCTTCTGTTCAGGATTGGATGGCTGGAGAATCTGCTTATTCCCAGAATTACATTTGTCCTATTTTACCCCTACAAACACAATGACATACTGTCATGCAATGTGGTCAGCAATGTTCAAACTACAGCAACTCTTAGCAAATAATCAGAAACCATTGTTTTGACTTCTTGACTACTCCAAGCAAATAAAAACTGAAATCGAATTTGATTCCATTGGTTAATTCATATCATTGCAGTTTGTGTTATATAACTAAATAAGAATCTGTTACACAGCTTGTAAAATACGAACATCATACTTCTAAATGCTCTCACCTTCATAGTAATGGTCCTCCACAGTTATAATTCGGCCTTTGGTGGCTTTGGCACTTTCAAGGATGGTTTGTTTATCCAGAGGTTTGATGGTGAATAGATCGATAATACGGATATTTATCTTTTCTATGAAGATGCAAGAGATCATTTGAGTTCATGGTGACTGATGCAGTCAGTTAACACATGTACATATTTTCATCTGCACATACTTTATTCCACCTTTTTCAATATACTGTATATTTTAGCAAATATTCCCAGATGCCCACGATCTGTCTCCAAGGCTGCAGTGGTTTTTGTAGGCGCAGGAGGTAGATGGTGTTTGTCAGGAATCTGGCTTTCTATGTTTTGGGATCTGGAGTCTGGTCATTGAAAGTGAGCGTGAGCTCCACGGCCACCACTCTAGGGTGACATTCCACCAGGTTTAGAAGCCAAGTGGTTTTAAGAATGGAAAGTTTCTTTTTAAATTTGGTGCTGTAGTAGTGCTGTACGTTTATCTGTGATGTGAAGTGAAAAAAATATATATGTTGATGGATGGTAGAATTCCAAAGTCTAATTTTGTAAATGGATCTACCCTTTCAAGGAAAAAGTTGCATTAAATCTCTTTTTACAGAGTGAAAGTGGGCAGAAAGCCCTGAAACTACTCTATGGATTGACATGGCGCCTATCAATCTGAAGCTAAAACATGTAATAAATGCTCTCTGCCATTGAAATGCTTTTTCTTTTTACCTTTCTTCAGCTGATCTGCTGCAGCAAGGGCTTCATGCAAAGTGACCCCAGCACCAATGACTGTCACCTGATCGTCTTTGCTCTGGTGCACCACCTGACACAAAAAAACATTTACAGTATGAGAGGTATCAAGCTGCTGTTTGCTATGAAGGAAGAACATGAATACCACAGAACATCTTGTTTTACATTTGTACCCCAACAATCAAAGTTTTTTTTTAACATTAGAAATAGAACCTCTGACATCATATAAGGACTGTGAACATGTCTAATTAATCCTAACATCAGAATTGATTGGTTGAGGAATTTTCCACAGTTATACTCATCCTATTTTACAACCTACACAGGTAATGTCATATTCTATTACTCCATCTAGTGCCCTAAAATCACTCACATATTCTCAACAGTGTGCTATACAAACATCTTCATCATCATTACGACCATCATCATTTTCTTTCTGCTTAAATTACTGGATGGTGGCATTTGCATTCTTCCTAGGAGAAGTCCAACATTTTGTCAGCTCAACTAGGGGATATAATCATTTTGTTTCATTTACCAAAAAGAAGCTGTGAAGCGCCCCAATCATCCTCAGAAAGGCCATACAGCTTAATGCCTCGTACACACGATAAGAAAATCGTATGAAAACCACTGATCGCAGAACCATCGCGGAACCACTGATCTAACTTTTTTCTCTTCATTGATGAGCAGGATGTTTTAACCAATAACGAAATTGTGAACAAAAAAAATCCGGTTAAACAACAGTGAAAAATTTAGTCGTTTTGCATATGAACTACCGATTTTCTATGCGGTGGTATGACAGTCGTACAAAAAAAACCTATCAAGCGCTATCACGCATGAGCGGAAACAGAAGATGACCCGGATGTTTATGTCCAACAAATCTTCGCAAACAGGAGCGAAAAATCCAAATGTTAAAAGTAGATTGGCCTAATGAGATAATGAAACCAGAATTCTGCATATTATATTTTTATGTATCACTATTTATGTATATAGATAATGTAATAACTAAACTATATTATACTCATTGCTGGTAATTGTTGTGTATATCGTTCTGGCCGGAAGGGCGTGGCTACAAGGTCACACGCACACTGCATCACTTCCACTTGTACGGAAGACGTCAACACTATGTATTGCCCGATGAACTATTTTTTTTGGTTTGGTTAATGTGGGCCACGATTTCGACCAATGAACGAACGCCTCTCGGTCATTGGATGACCGATCGGTCGATTTTCTAATTGTTTATTCCCACCTTAAGGCTGGATTCACACCAGAAATCAATTTGTAAATGATGTGTTGATGGATATCAACATTGCTTGATGCAAGTTGGATCCTGTTAAGGATTATGCCTCATTGACTCACATGGCAAAATACAGGTCAATGTACCTATATGCAACAAACAAGGCTTTTTTGAAAAACACCACAACAAATGCCCATAGAAAACAATATTTTTTCTAGTCCATGCATCTTTGGAAAATGCAGAAAAATGTATGACGCTGCATATGTATAAACAGGGTCTGAGTAACTGAAAACCTCTATGGTCTTAAAAAAAAAAAAATCCACTTTTTTCTGAACCAGCTTTATTGCTTCCCTTTGTGCACTGACCTTGGCATGACCAATCTTGAATTCCTCATTATTGTTGTAGATAACAGCGTTCTCTGGGCGACTTGTTCTAATGAAGCAAATTCCCTGCAGCAGAGAAAATGTTTTACTATGTTTCAGCAAATTAGTATATTATTCTAAGTTCCACTTTTCTCATCATATTACAATATCAAAGGGAGATGAGAGAATGGTGGACATCATACGGGTGTTACACAATTTTCCCAATCTTGATTTGATGCCCAGACAGCAGTCATGAATTTGGTGTAATCTGGCTAGACTTACCTTTGTGTTTGCAGCAAGCTCCACTGCTTTCTCTGTAGACACTGCATCACTTGGGTAAAAGACAGTTGCATTGGGGACAACTCTGAACATGGTTAGATCTTCCAGGCCCATTTGAGATGCACCATCTTCACCTACAAAATTCAGAAATGTTAGTGTCAGAAGAATGACACCTGCGATGTGATTAGGAAACAATAAAAAACATATACATGTGCATACATTTACTTATGTGCATTCACTTTGCCACTCTTTACAGAATTCCTTTATACTAAATAAAGCGATCATTGGAATCACTAGAATCAGGCATTTAATTTCATAAGCAGAAGAATTCTTGTTAAGTGGAGACTCTTTTAATTTATAGCGGACCTTACCTCAAAAATCAAAGATTTACTATGTTATAAAAACCATTTAGAAATGTTAGTTGTGCCCTGAAACCTCAACCTTTTTTCTGGCCACCGATCGTGGCAAAAATGCCCTGTGTTTTCAGGTGCCATGGAAATGAATGGCACCTGAAAACGTGATTGTGCGTTTTCACACTTTTTCAGCGCGTTTTCAAATTGCAGGCAGAATCACAGTGATTCCACCAGCGATTCGGAAACACCTAGTGTGAATGGAGCCTTAGTTTTTTAGCTTCATCTACTTTTTAGCCACAAGTTGTAGCAATTTCTTATTTACCATTTGGCCTCCTTATGTTTCATTAAGTGGCAAAGCTGTGCTGTCACAGAGGTGTCAATCTGTGTTGATTGCAATTAGAAGGTGTTAAACTTAATAGCAGCGTGACAGCTTCCACCTAGCCAATCCCCTGAAGACATAGTTTATGACAAAATATGTAGGGTGCGGCTTGTAAGTGTCGCTATCACACACCAGTGCCAGTCAGAGCCGGCAAAGTTTGGTTAACCATCAGCAGTGGTGTATTAAGTTCTTGTGCTGCCCTATTCAACACTAAAAATTGGTCCCCCACCATCGGCACCTCCCCCAGCCCCTGCCACTCTCCGGCAACTACCCATACCATACTCCCCGACTCTGCCACTCTACAGCAACCACCCTACTAACCTTAACCTCTCCGGAAAGCAGCTGGCCATCCCCAGAGCCAAGCCAAGTGTCTTCCTTCCCTGTGTCTCCCTTGTCCGGGAAGCTTACACCATCCAGCAGCGCACAGCCTCCACAGATTCCATGGCAGAGCCTCACCAGGTCCCCATCCCTGCCATGTGTGTCACTTCTATTGGCCGCCCCCCCCCCCCTGAAAATTGCCACCCTAGGCAAATGCCTTGTTTGCTACGTGGTAAATACACCACTGACCATCAGCCTACTATTGCCTTGGTGTGAGGCAGTGACTTCACACTGTCCAGCATTAAGTGTGGTTGTACCACATTATATCTTTTTTGGATAAATAAAAGGCTCATGTTTTTAAACTTACTTTCAGTATGGGAGCATATTATTTTCTTTGGCGTCAATCTTCATAATTGGAGGTGTGTTGCTTGTTCCTGCACTGGGAGCCACTGGGGGAATGTAAAATCAAATCCTTTTTGACCATTTGTAATCTTATGGTCCATCGCATCTGGTAAGAGGCGTCTAATAAAGGTGTTACACAGTGGAGGAACTTTTATCAAGTTTGGGTGTATGCACCATTCGCTTAGGGATGGATGTGGTTCCTTATGTGTTATCATAACTAAAGAGGTGATTGCATCTTCAATTCAATTAAGTTCACAGGAGAGAAGATTTGTTTACATATGGATCGTCATGGACTTTCACATTTAATTTAATATTGTATGTTGTTTTTGACATTATTTTCATGCTGCTGTTTTTATTTATTTAATAATTTACTATTTGTATCACAATTGCACAGAAGCTGCTTTGCATATATCTATTATTTTTTTTTTCTACCTAAAGCACATATACTTTGGTTTTTATACTGAAACCTAGCTCTAGCTGGGAAAGGTTTTATGCAACACTAAACACTTTTATGCCTATTTCTCTAGAATTTTGCTCTAGGTAATGTTGGCAAGAGCAAAGAAACTAATATTAATACATTTTTGTAATAGTATGATAGACATAAAAATACTGTTTACAACTACACCAGAATAGCAGTTTCTTTAATGATAATAGGCAGTCAATATGAGAGGTCCATTGACTGAAATAGCCGCTTTCAGATCTCTTGTCTCATGTCTAAGGGGGCAGGTAACTGACACATGCCAAAGAACTTGGGGTATAGGCATTAATCAAGAAAGTTGGAAACCATATCCCAATTATTATGATTCTCACCAGGGGCGGACTGACAACTCATGGGCCCCCCGGGCAATAGGGGATCATGGGGCCCCTGTGTCCTTGCCCAAACTAAAAAAAGCCTATGAAAAAGATACCAGGGGCATCTCATGGGGCCCCCTACTGACCCCGGGCCCTCGGGCAGTGCCCGAGTTTCCAAATGGTCAGTCCACCCCTGATTCTCACACAATAAGAAGCTCCTACAGTGGCTGTCTGTGCCACTCAAGTTATCGCCCTCTTCCCTGTGTTGACATAAACTTCCTAAGTCTGCAGAGCTGGCCTAACAAGATTATGATGTACTCTATAACGCTTTGAGTTGTTTTTTGTTTTTTTTTATTTAATACATATAGTTGTCAAATGCATTTTCCAAGTAGGTGCAAGGCAATTTTCCAAGGGTATCCAAAGAGGGGTACAGCAATACCCACAGAGGCTGCATTGACTAATATGCACAAGTATCAGCAACCTAAGAAGGTCATACTAGTATACTGGTCAATTGTAACACTTTGAGTTTTTGATGCCATAGCACAGGGCAGGTTGTGTCTGAATGTCCAATCACCACCTAGTCTCTACAAGGCACACTATGCCTTGATTATTTCAGAAGATCCGGCCAATACAGTCCCTGTTTGGCTATCAGAAGATATTGAAACAGCAAATTGGGACTTTTGGGTATAACTATTGGCCATGCAATTGTTTTTGGTCCTATATACAGTATAGCAAACATTGGCCATGTTTAATATACAGCTACTAATATTAATGGGAAATTGATGCATAAAACACCCACAATGATCACTCAAGTGTTACCATGTAATTGTTGTATAAACAATTGTAACAGAACTTGAAGAAAAGCTTTTGGAATTGCTGAAGGCGTATCTGAGCCTCACATGATTATGAACAGTCTCTGCAATAACAAATTCTCAAAGCAATAACGGCAATGTCATAAAATGAAAATCCCGAGGGAGGTGGTTAAGGAACAGTATAAATGAGTCATATGCTCCCACATACTGAGAAGTGCTGGATATGTCCCTACACTTCCCCAAGCAAACATAGCAGTGGGTGAGCAAAGAGAACAGAAAGAATAAAAAATAAGAAGCTGCGAGGACCTGCATTAAAGTGAACCTAATGTTTTTCCCTGCATTGGCAAAGTACAGGTTTATTTTACTGTACTGAAAAAAAAGATTCTTTATGTAAACTACATCACCGATCTTGTCTCCAAATATCACCCAAACCGTACTCTCCGCTCCTCGCAAGACCTCCTACTCTCTAGCTCCCTTGCCTCCTCCTCCCATGCTCGTCTCCAGGATTTTTCAAGGGCTTCACCCATCCTCTGGAACTCCCTACCCCAAGCTATCAGGCTATCGCCTACTCTGCTCACTTTTAGGCGCACTCTGAAAACTCATCTCTTCAGGGAAGCCTACCCCAACCCCAGCTAATACTGGAATCCCCTACTCCTCCATCCCCCACAGCTAATTACCTCTTGTACCACTATCCCCTCCCTCCTAGATTGTAAGCTCCAAGGAGCAGGGCCCTCTAATCCCTCTTGTATTGAACTGTATTGTTACTGTACTGTCTCCCTCCATAATGTAAAGAGCAAACTGTTGGCGCTATATATGTCCTGTATAATAATAATAATAATGTATGGCTCCATTGGATGATGGCATATGATTGCTGAGTTTGGTAAATTCATGGTACAGCAGTTTTAAAAAAAATGATCATTGGAAGAACAATTTTTTTAAAGATGGTGAATAGTTTCCTATGTCTTTAGGTGCCTTATGGGCTAGTGCAAATAGGCCTTTGGGATCATTTAAAGTCCATTTGAGAGCAGTTGTGTTTTGCCTTTGTTTCTTCAACTAACACAGTGTAAATGCATCACAAATGCTACACTTCATTAGCTCTAAGTTTACAGACGAAAAGAAACAGTACTTGAGAATTTAAAGAATATATAAAACCAACATTTCACATTCCTGATATGTGTCTGCTGTACCATGTGCTTGTATGAAAAAGTATCCTGTTCTCCTTGTATTGCTTCCTTTGTGTGAAATATCTAGTGTTCCTGCCAGTCCCTCTGCTTTCCTTTTAAAAAAATGACCACAATAAGCAGGATGAAAAAGGAGGGACCCCCTAGGAATGAGGAAGGAGTGGAATCACTTCGAAACGCGTTTGACAATTAGAATAGTATTTCTGCAGTTTTGCACATCAATGATGATTCCATCATTTATATCTTCTATGGCCAGTCAAAGACAGTCATACTGGGTATCCTTATCATGCAATTTCATATTCTGATTTTGATGCTGTACTATGTCTCTGTATGATGTATTGTATTGTATATCTATGTATCATAACAATTTTTGACAAATTAAAAATGTTTACTTTTTTAAAATTTTTGGTACCATTTAAGCCCTCAAAGTCCCAAGTCCTAGGGGGTCCCTCCTTTTCATCTAATTGTTGTTTTGAGGATGGTGGCTTACAATCAGGAATTTTCCCTCCTTTTCTTGTATAACACTAAGCAAGAGTGCACACTGTGGTCAGTTTTCTAGCTGTGCTGGGAACTCAGTCTGATCTCCTCCAATGATCTGACTTGTTCTAACAACTCCCTACCCCTTTCCGAACAGACATTCACATGGAATATCAGTGTGCTGCTGTTTCTCCTCCCCCAGCTCTTATGCAGCTGAGGACAGAGGGAATATGGTCACTTATAACAAAGGGAAAAAAGGTATTCATAATGTTTTTTATATCTATACACAAATGTTTTGCCTCCCATTTCTATTTTAAACTGAATGGGTTGTTTTACAAGTGAGGATTTACATATACTTTTTATACACTTGATATCACGCATGTGTTAAATTTATCTTTAGAAAGGTAATTTCAACCAAATACCAGGGGTTAGGAATTCTTAGCTAGCATGCAGGACTACCTGGAAACACCAGTCTTCTTATGTTTGGAATCAGGATGTAAAGAAAGAGAAGAAAACTAGAACAAAAAGAAAATCAGGGTTCAAGGCGAAGTATGAAGGAAATGTAGGAGAACACATAAGACTGGAAACCCTGTGAGATGGCGCACCTAAACACATAATATCACATTTGGATCTCTCTATTTATTGAGCATTTAGCCTGTAACTAGTATTAGTTATACTTGACCAAACTTTCTTGTTTGGAACTGATTTTTAGATTAAGGACCTGAATGGACTGACTTTTGTTTGAACTGCTTCTCTCCCCATAGCTAGTCTATGGGAACACAAAATCAGTTTGAAGCAGGTCAGATGGAGGTCAACAGCAGGCCAAATGCACCTGTCAATGAATCCCATATGATCTTAGAAGCATATTAATAAAGTAACAGTGCAGCGCAATCTTTCAAAATAGTGCAATTATTGACTATGGTGATGCAAACATAAATATAAATAAATATAAATGTAGTCCACAAATAAAGTTGAATATCAAAAGTTCCATACGAAATGTTCACTACAGTGCTTAGTGATGTATTCTTCAGAATCAATCAATTGTCACTCGTGCCACCACCTAAAGAATATACGAGCTACTCACCTCACAATTCAGACCACTGAATGAACAGTAGGCCATACTGTGCTTTTCCCCTTCAGGGGTTAATCCTCTGGCGATATCAAGCTGGTCACAAGCATAGGGCTAGTACCACAAAAGCAAAAAGAAGAGCCACTAGTGTTCTCTGTTTAAAATAAATGTACTGCCATATACTATATGGATAAAAACACTTACAAAATGAAGCACTATCCCAGTGCTGACATATCTACGCTACAAACACCTACCATCAACTGCTTGTAAGATGGCAGCGAGATGATGTCACTTGCATGGCTCTGTCTGCTGATGCCCTGCTGACCCACGTGGATGAAAGGTCCATGTCTGTTCAATTTATGATGAGCGGACATGGAGAGAACCCGTCCTGCTGTATGGGCAGCCAGATGTCTGTTTACACCCAACTGCCCCACCTAGACGGAGAGGGATGTCCTCACCGTCGCTGGTTTCACCGGCCGTCTTCTCTCCCTGGTGCCGGCACCTTCAGTGTGGGCACCTGGCTGTGACAGCTTGTGGCTTGCAAGAACACTGCACTTTGTGATTGGTCCTGTAGACTTCTGGGACCTATCACGTGTCCCAGAAGACTATGGGGAGGGAGGGGGGAGGACAACTCCCCCCCCCCCCCGCTCCCCAGAGGTGCCAATCCGTAATGGGTAGCGGGGAACAAAGGCTTAAAGCGGAACTTCCCCTTTTGGGTGGAGCTCCGCTTTAAACAGGGCTTCTCTCTTTACTCCTAATGGCTCAACAGAGTGGTGGAGTAATAAAGGTAAGGTAGGTATGTGCAACTGGTGAGACCAACCATAAAGTGAACTTATTGCTTTGCCCTGCATTGGTAAAGCACAGGTTCACATTAAAGTTGCAAGCTCTGGGGTCAACAGCCTCATCTTGGCCTTGCAATTTCTTAAAGCATAACTAAATGCAAACCTTTTTTTTAATATTTCAGAGTGGAGAAGGATTAGAATACCTGCCAGGTTTTTATTGCTGTTTGTGTCCCCATTAGGGAGATTCTTCTGTTCTATTTGTCCTGTTTTCCATTATGATCAAAAAGTAAAAGAAATCCCAAATGTTGGGTTATCCCCAGGGTTATCCAACGGGGACACTAGTTCTGGTGACCCTGGTGACAAATTGTAGGTATTACCTCTCACTTCTTGCTTTGGCTATGGGATAGGATGTGATGGGAAATTTCTCAAATGGGAAAGAGATGGCAAAAAAACAACTGAATGGTGTTATAACTCTTTAACTACCCCTATTACTCTATCCAAAAGAAATGCATTTAGTTCTACTTTAAATCACTTACCTGACAGGTGACTCAACATGCTGAATCAGAGACAACTAACTGCTATTGTTGTCATCAGTTTTACAGATAGAATTTGAATGAAGCCCCTTGGAGTCTAAAATTGGTATTTATCTAAACATTTCAAATTATTTAAAAATGGAACAATATACATGAATCCCTACTCCTACTGGGACTTGACAGTAAAAGGTGAAAATGTCTTTATCTCCAGTATGGCACAACCTCATGTTTTTCATAATAGAGGAAGTGCTGAGCTTCTCATAAACAATTACTAAATAGATTTACAACATTTCCTTACTACAAGATATCAGATGGAAAGAAGGTAGAGAGGGGGAAGAGAGTGGGAGAGAGTTAGATATAGGGAGGTCTACGGAACAAAGGAGGAAAATAAGCACTGCAAATCCGAAAACAGAAAAGAATACCTGCAGGAGAAGATAAAGATGGAAAGATGAAATGAGGGAAAAATGGAGAGAGCTGAAACATGCTGAATCATTGATAACACTCTGGGGTTGATTTAGTAAAGGCAAATAAACTGTGCACTTTGCAAATTGCAGTTGCACTCTGCAAGAACAGTTGCTCCACAGCTTAGTAAATAAGCAGAAGCTCTGTTGACTTCCATCATCCAATCAAGTGCAAGAAAAAATGCAATTTTTTTAAAATTCTCCTTGCACGTGATTGGGTATTCTTTTCAAAGTGAATCTTTACCTCATTTATTAAGTTCTGGAGCAACTGCTCTTGCAGAGAGCAACTGCACTTTGCAAAAGTGCACAGTCTATTTGCCTTTATCCTAGGTTCACACCTAAGCGTTTTCTGCAGCGTTTTGCAGAAACGCAGTACAGTCCATTTAACACGATTTCCTATGGGACATGGTCACATATGTGCGTTTTTACCTGGTGCGTGTTTTGGAAAGGGTCAGGGACTTTTTTGAATGCAAAAAGTTGCATTTTTGGTTCTATAGACTTCAATGGAAACGCTGCAGAAAAGCATGTATTGCATTTTTGCTGTGATGTTGATGCATTTTGTGCCGCATTTTCTGCAGGGTTTTGCAGAAACGCAGTACAGTCCATTTAACATGATTTCCTATGGGACATGTTCCATATGTGCGTTTTCACCTAGTGCATTTTTTTGAAAGGGTCAGGGACTTTTTTGAATGCAAAAAGTTGTGATTTTGGTTCTATAGACTTCAATGGAAACGCTGCAGAAAAGCATGTATTGCGTTTTTGCTGTAATTTTGATGCATCTTGTGCTGTTTTTTTGATGCATTTTTTACGTGTTTTGCATTTTAAATCTGCCTAGCAACAAGAAAAATTTAAAACACCCCCCCCCCCCCCCCGCAAAACGCATCATAAAGGCGGCAACACCGCAGCAAAACCGCAAGTGCAAGAACGCAAAACAAAATGCAGAAATGGCTCAAACGCAACTTGCATAGGTGTGAACCTAGCCTAAGTAAATCAACCCCTCTGTCTTTGCAGTACAGGACAGGTCAGAGAAGCAACAGTCCAGGCCAACGTGCTACAACCCCTACTGCTGTCATCTGAAAAAAGTGTCATCCATGGTGAGTCATATATTGTACTGTGCACAGAGGACATTACTGAACCTACCAAAGCCTAGATAGACAAAGAAAGACAGAGGCAGGGGCGGACTGACAACTCATGGGTTCCCCGGACAATAGAGGATCATGGGGCCCCTGTGTCCTTGCCCAAACTCAAAAAAAGCCTATGAAAAAGGTACCAGGGGCATCTCATGGGGCCCCCTACTGACCTCGGGCCCTCGGGCAGTGCCTGAGTTTCCAAATGGTCAGTCCGCCCCTGGACAGAGGTTTCCAGACACAGAAAGTTTGTGTGGATGGACCGTTGGAATTTAGAGCTATAGTCACCTACAACAAAGTGTGCGACGCACCTTCACTTACTTATAACTCACACCGTAATATTCTCCATGAGCTCCACTGTAGCATTAAATCTATATAAACCTAGCCCCATAACACTTCTTCAGTATATACACGTCACTTATTTAATCAAAAAAAGTTTGTGAACTTTGCCCATAAAAATGACTGTTGCACAAAAAAGGGCAACAGGAGGACCAGACAACCCCAAACATACAAAACCAATCCCACTTCAAGAAACATTTGTTGTTTCCGAATTCTATGTACAAATCATGACATTTTCAAGACAAATACATTCTAGTTGGTCTTTTGTGTACTAATAAAAAAAGAAGACACCATGGGCCCTGAACTCCAATTGGTCCCAAGGATTTAAGCAATGCCCCTGGTTCTTGCAAATTTAGAAGTATGATAGCCATATAAAATAAATAAGAAGACCTCGGCCGAGTCTGCCAATTTATGCACAATGCAGATATCACTAACACCCCACTGATGTCCTGAAAACCAGAGAGTTGTAAAATCAACATTGAATAATAGATTTTTTTCTGGAGGTTGATTGGCTAAAGGTTGCATGCCTAGGTCATACAATACCTACAGATACATGATCACCTTCTGATCCAACCATAATCAACTAGCTCAGGGGTGGGCAACTGTGGCCCTCCAGCTGTTGTAGAACTACAAGTCCCATGAGGCATTGCAAAACTGACAGTTACAAGCATGACTCCCAAAGGCAGAGGCATGATGGGACTTTTAGTTCACCAACAGCTGGAGGGCCACAGTTGCCCACCCCTGAACTAGCTGATCTAGCAATCTTTCCATGCCTGTAAGCACATTCAGTCTTAGCTATTCAAGTTCACAAGTATGCAAATGATCTGTAGAGAAAAAGCCAAAATGACACTCACCAATAGAAACTCCACAGTGAGACCCACAAAGGTTAATGTTGCTCTCAGAGATGGCTGCCATTCTGATGTGATCAAAGGCTCTTGTGAAGAATGTGGCAAATGCACTGGCAAAGGCAACAGTACGATCCCGAGTGGTGCAGCCAACAGCTATGCTCACCTACAGCAACAGAACAGAGTATGATAACATTAATACAACTTGGACAAGTGTTGTGGATTATGTAATATATAAAGTGAAATGACTTTGACAATCACTGTATTTAGGTGGACAAAAATAAAGATGACCATAACTAATTAGAGAAATGCATAAAATAAACTGGACGTGATTGTATATGTATATCATAAAATAGTAGAAATGTACATTATATTAAAAAAAAAACACTCAACTGCTCTAGCATAAAGTTAGGTTGTTAGAAACACTACATAGCAGGGGCGGACTGACAACTCATGGTTCCCCCGGGCAATAGGGGATCATGGGGCCCCTGTGTCCTTGCCCAAACTCAAAAATCCCTATGAAAAAGGTACCAGGGGCATCTCACGGGGCCCCCTACTGACCCCGGGCCCTCGGGCAGTGCCCGAGTTTCCAAATGGTCAGTTCCGCCCCTGCTACATAGCCAAACGTTTGTAGACACCTGACCATCAGACCTATAAGAACCTGTTTGGCGTTCCACTCCATAATCATGGGCATTAATATGGAGTTGGCCACACACACGCACTACCCTTTGCAGCAATAAGAGTCTCCACTCTTTTTTCGACAAGATTTTGGAGTGTGCATGTGGATTGAATACAACTGAAACAGATGAACCTAATAATTTGGTAGGGTGTCCATACACATTTGACCATATTGTAGGTGTATTGGTCAAGAGTACACAAACGTGTTGCTATATAGTATAATTGATAATACTTAAAGTGGTTTTAAAGGCAAAATTTTTTTATCTTAATGCATTCCCTGCATTAAGGTAAAAAAAAGTTTTACCACTTGTTCTGGTCCCTCTCCTCCCCTTCCCTCGAAATCATGTCTCCTTTTATGATCCAGCAATTTCCCAGCTCCCTTTACTTCCAGTACTCACAAGAGATGCAGGTAGCAGTGGAAGCCATAGGCTCCTTCGGCTGTCAGTCAAATCCTGTGACAAGGACGTATGGGGGCATGGCCAAGTCGTGCTGTGTGTTTCTATGGGCGTACACAGCCCAACTCAGGAACGCGCCCACATGAGAGCCCCCATAACAAGCAAAAGATGCAGCAGATAGAGTTGGCGGGGGACAACCAAAGAGGTGGTACAGGACCACTCTGTGCAAAACCATTGCAAAGAGCAGGTAAGTATTAAAAAATTGTGACTTTAATATCACATTATTTAACACAGACTTTATATTACTTGTAAAACCAGCTTTCAAATCCTGTACTTTTCTGTGCTAACTGAATTTAAAGAGGAATTTCACTTTCTAAAACAACATTTACTACATGGAATCCTTATATTGATAGCATTAGTAAATAGATAGGAAAGTATATCATCTTTACTTGTTTTAAACTGTTTTTTTTACATTTCTTTAGTCACTTCCTGGTTTCCAGGCCTAGGCAAATATATCATACATCCCAGGAGCCTTCAGGAGTTTTCTCAGCTAAGCACACCCTCCTGCCTGTATGCATGAGCAAATGGCAGATGGATTTCAGGAAGTAATTGCTACATGAATCATCTGCCCTCACTTAAGATGGCCACGGCCAGAAATACATTTTCCCAGTGATTTCTCAGCAAAAATTAAGCATGGAGACATGATGGATTGGGGAGTTTGCTTTGAATATTAATAAATGAATTAAATAGCACTTTTGGTTTCTGGTGCTCAGATACATTGTAGTTCTGCTTTAAGCATTTCATATATGTGCTTATTAAATCCCCCTTCAGGTTGTCATTGCTATCTCTGTCTACTTGGGGGGCAGTCTCCACTGGGGGGAAATTGCTTCACTGGGGATATAGGCAAAACACATTTTAATTAGCGCATCCGTGCTTTCTACTCCCCGACACCTCAAATAAATCTGAAAAAAAAGTTTATCTGAAACAAAATAAAATGGCTGGGATTAGGTTTTAAAATGACTGTGTAATAAAAGATTATGGAGGCTGCCATTGCTAAACCATGATTTTAAACTCTTCCCGTCCGGCCCATGCTGATAAATGGCCAGACGGGAGCGCTGCCGATGCGGATGGACATTTCTGAACGTCCCCCCCGCACCCATTGCCTGTGAGTGCTCCCTGGGAGCACGCAGCACGCGATCAGTGCCTGCTGTGTCCTCCGGACACAGCGGAACACAGATCGCTATATGGGACCTCTGTGTGAGGTCCTGATTCATATGATCACTAATTGGCCAATCAGTGATCACATGAATAGTAGTAAACAAGATGTCACTTCCTGACATCATTGCTTACTACTTGTGAAATCTGTGAAAGATCACAGAGGTCACATGGTACAAGGCTATTCACAACAGCCTTGTACCATGTGACAAGCTGTGACCAATCACAGCTCACACAGTATTTCTCAATGGCTGCAGGAAAGCAGCCAGAGAAAAGGAGAAATGATTGCTTACACAGCCTTTATGGGTAAAAAAAGAAAAAAAATCTTCAGTGTCACTATGGTGACACTCTACTGCTAGGGTGACAGTATGTTAAAAAAAACAAAAAACAAGCCATAAATAATAATATAAAAAAAAATAAAAATGTAAAAAAAATTTTTTTTAACTACAATTTTTGGTTATAAACTAATTTGGGTTTTTTCTTTTTTTTCACTAAAAAGATAGCTGAATACATTTTGGCCAAGATTTATGAAGAAAGATTATTTATTTGCAAAATGTTATAAGAAAAACTTTTTTTAAAACTTTTTTTTACTTTTTCATTTATATAGCAAAAAAAAAAAAAAAAATCCCAGTGGTGAATAAATACCACCAAAATAAAGTTTTATCTGTCTCAAAAAATTGCTAAAAAATTCATATGGGTACAGTGTTGCATGACCGCGCAAGTGTCATTCAAAGTGTGACAGCACTGAAAGCTGAAAATTGGCCTGGACAGGAAGGGAGTGAAAGTGTCCGGACTTGAAGTGGTTAAGAATGCTAGTTCACTAGCTATCATGCCGATGCTGTGGCTTCAATGTGTCTGAACTGATGACCCGAAACAAGTATAGAGATAGAGAACACATACATTTCATTCAATTTCTGCATTCCTATTATTATTCCCTGCAAAATACGGTAGACACAGTTGTAGCAGACTTACCATGTTCTGTTCAGCTATGTAACACTCGATGAAACGGTCTGGGTGCTCTTTTTTAAACAGCTCAGAGAATGTTGAGTTCTTGGTATCACCATCCAGAGCGATAACTCTGTCACAGCATTGTCCCACCTTAGCAAGGGCAAGACCATAAGCCTTGCGAGTAGCAATCTGGAAGAGAAGTTTGTTGATGCATTTTGTTGCAACAGAAAAGTCAAAATCAATAAAAACACACTAATTAATCTCCTAAAGGAATGTTCGTTTGAAAATGCTGGCACACTGCATATACATTGTAGAATCCTGACACCTCAATGCTTGTTTAGCAAACAACAGGGTGACAGCACGCCACAGTCTGACATAAAATTTCATGAAATAAGGGTACAGCAAATCTCATGTTTTCATGGATAATAGAACTTAATCATAGGACATTTATTTGCAGAAGAAACAACAGGTTCACTTTATTGTTCCCCTTCATGGCTACATATATCTACCTTTCCTTCACTTCCTCCACCACGCCATCCAGCTGCCAGCAGAGAAGGACAGTTCCAAATCATAGCTAAGACCAATCACCAGCACTAGACATTGTCAATATTCCCATTGCACACATTCTGGGCTCAAAAGTAATGAGTGCTGCAGCAGCTACCAGCCGGAGACTGGAGACATCATATATTAGTGCACTGGACCCCTTTGCCAGGTAGGTGATGATCATTTCTAAGTTACACTGTGCATCTGGTGAGTGCACAGCCTTCACTTTTTCATTATCACAACTTGGAAGAAACACTCTGATGGAGAGGGATTTTCATCTCCCACGTTTTCACTAAGACTGTTATTTTACACTGTGTGTCACTTTGTTAGTGACGGAATATATATGATCACACTAGTCACTTGATATATGCTCACCATATATTAGCATCGACTATATTGACACTGTGGTTATTAGACACTTTCTATGATTGTTTATAACTATTTGTATTTAGCGCCGCATCTTTTACACCCTAGGTGATGATCATTGCATGCCTGACGAAGGGGTCCTACGCGGCTCTGAAACGTTGCACTTCATTCTTTGTGGTGTGATCATTCTTTTAAAAAGCTTCTGATGAAACTTGATAATCCGTGATGTGCTGGCAAATATGTGCACCAATCACCAGCACTAATACTGTCCATGGATTGAATCCCATGATCCTGCTGAAGGGAAGGTAGGTGCTGATGAGGAAAGAGTGCCAAAGCAAACCTATTGCTTAAACTTTCATGGCCGAAGCACAGGTTTGCTTCAACCCGTTCATATTCAGAGGTCATTCTTGCCTAGATGCCCAGGCCAGACTCCTGCAGAATCATAATGTGTCAGTTAACTCAACAATAACTCTATGGTAATTTTCACCTCTATGACTTATTTGCACCTAAATAATTTTTATATATTTTAGGCACATACAAGACTTTTATTTGCTAAGCGGTTTTAATAAAATCCCTTCTCTTCTTTATTATAGCCTAGCAAATGCATATACATGTATATGAAATGTATACAATGTAATAAAGATTCTATATGTAATAATTGCTTAGTTATTATTAATAATTTGATAATTATATCAATAAACATAAGGCACTGCAGATGAACAACATACCTGGCAATGGCAGTGTTCCTCTGCATTTTTTTGAATGGAAACTCAAGCTGTCAGTGACAGTAGTAATTGGGAGCCACCAGCTGTACGAATTGTCGGTTGGTGGCTCTCATACTGAAGGATATTTAGAAACATATCCCCAGCACAGGGCCTCAGAATTGGGGATGTCTATTTACAGATCTTGGGCAGGAAGGACTTGAAGCAAACATGTCATGAGGGAAAAATTAGGAGCATCCATTACTGACCTCTAAAAAAACTACTTGTCTGGCAGTTGTTCTGACTCACTAGCTTCAATACTTTCACTGAGTCACTGACCTAGAGCAAGTATGCTGACCACGATACTCTGAGAAAAGTCAGAAGTGTGTTCAGATACTAGTCCAAATTTACCTGAACTATCCTGCCAGAAAGCTGTCACTGCACACTGCCAATCATAAGCGGCCAAGGCATTCCTCACCATGCTGCCATGTATATACACAACCCTTGTATATGTGTAACTGTGGGGAGGGAATGCCTCAGCTGCTTATGATAGGCTTTGTTCAGTGACAGCTTCCTGGCAGGATAGGTCAGGCAAGTTTGGACCAGTATTCAAACACAAAAACAGCAGACCCAAATACTCCTGCGCTTGGGGATGGACTCAATAAAGGTTATGACCACATCAGGGATGTCCTGGGATGTACACTCCTTGCTGCCCTCAGAGGACCAGGGAAGTCCAAATGTACTGGATAAAAAAAAAGCAAACAGAGGGCGCACTGGCCTAGTGCATTACCTTAAAAAACATTTATTAAAGCGATAAAAGTAGATATTGTACTCACAAACAACAATAATGTCAAAGGCACATCATGAAAGAACAGCTCTGTCCAATCCGCACTACATGTCTATCTGCAATGGGAACCCTGGACTTCCAACAGTCTAACGCGTTTCGAGGACTTGCCTCTTGGCTCTGAGGAAGAGGCAAGTCCTCGAAAAGCATGATGTGCCTTTGACATTATTGTCGTTTGTGAGTACAATACCTCCTTTATCGCTTTAATAAATGTTTTTAAGGTAATGCACTAGGCTGGTGCGCCCTCTGTTTGCTTTCTTTTTATCCATTATTCAACACGCCTGAGCTCATCCCTTGTCTTTCTCTGCATACTAATTCTGGGTTATTGACTGAAAGTACTAAGGCTAGGGGGATAATGTGGTAGCTGGGTTACTTGCACTTTAATAAAGTGAAATCAGCAGTCTCAGACACAATCTTTCACTCTAATCTTTTGATGAGCTTTCACATACCTTGTCACCCATCTTGAAATTAGGTGCAGAAGGCATCTTGATATTCTTAATGGAGACAGATGGTGCATCCTCCACAGGGAGTGCAGGTGTTAACTTCTTTTTGCTTTGGATTTTGCTTTCAATCTCCTTGATGGTTTGCTCTCTGCCAAGTCTTTTGGAAGTGGCTTTCCATGCCAGCTTTCCTTATCTTCCACACCTATCTCCCGGAAATTGAAAAATAATGATTCAGATTGTTGTTTCACCAATAGGTAGTCAAGAACAATTCATGAGTTACACTATTAGATAAAAGTTGAGCATCAAACCCTGACACAGAGAATAATAAAAAAAAACAATGATATTATCAGCATTGGCTCAACAACTGTGACTTCATTATTCCCAGTGACACAAAATTATCCAAAACGGTTGAAAAAAAAATATCACCTCAGTAATATATTTATTACAGCTAGCCTGTATATGGAAGTGGATGCAAGTTATAACCCCCTAAAGCTGGGGCTACACTGGCTACTAAATGTCCTTGCCATCGGGAGATTTATCTGCTTATCTGCAGTTTTCTTTTTTAGTATCATATTGATTTGTATTGGGAGATCATGAGGAAAGTGTCAAAGAGTAGTTACACCCCAACTCCAGCCAAAGGTTTTTATACATATTTGGATAAAACAGTGCAGGGAAGGATTAGGGACCCTAGCAGGTTTTTATTGTTATCTGGGTCCTCATTGGGGAGATTACCCTTCACTCTCTGTAAAGACAGGAAAAGACTGAAAATCTCTCCAACGGACTCAGACAAAAACACATTTTTAGTGCTGGGAAGGTTTGAACTTCTGACAATGGAAAATTGTATCAAATACTTACCATAATTTTCTTTTCCTGGCGCCAATCCATGGCAGCATGCATGTGGTAGTAGCCTCACCTAATTTAACACACTGGATCAGTGCATAGCAATTAAGAATTGATGCCCACAAACAACCTATTCCCTGTACATCACTATGAAGGAACTGGGTGAGTTCAGTATGCTGCCATGGATTGGCGCTAGGAAAGGAAAATTAGGGTAAGTATTTGATATAATTTTCCATTTTCCAGGCTCCAACATGGCAGCATACATGTGGTAGACCAATAACTAGCTACCAGGGTGGGAAGTGAAGGCCAATCCTATCTTTTAAGAAAGTAGGCTGTTTGTGTTGGCATCAACTCTTTAAAGTTATGTACTGGTCCTGTGGACGACAGTAGGTGGGTCTACTACAGGTATGCTGCCATTTTGGTGCCAGGAAAGTATTTTTATGCTGTCTGCATCTTCCTGTCCTGATGACAAATGCTCCCCCATTTCCTGTTTTAGCATTTTAAGAGACAAACTATTAAAATTTAAATTTTAAGTAAACAAACACTGTAGCTTTAACTTTCTCAAGGGCCACTGCAGCCCTAGCCTATCAGTAGGGTTAGTGCCTTGCTTTACAATCAACAGCAACCAATCTACATTTCATTGTAGTATACAGGCTAACTGCAAACTGGATTTCATTTTACTTATAAGTTTTATTCGATATTTAATTTAGAATGGTGATAATCTAAAATAAAACATTACCTCAACTTCCAGCAAAAACAAAGGATAAGGACATTTTGAGGAGATAAATGGATTGTGTCAATGCACAATCATGATCCACTGTATGTTACCTGCTGAATGCAAGTCATAATGTGATCCAATCCCACGACCTACTGCAAGCGTTGGAATGTTCCTAGTGTTGTGTGTCGATAAACTTGTGGTAAAGCTGGACATTGCACTAGAAGTGACTTACACTGAGATGTGCAGCAAGTAGGATCTGGGACTGGCACTATGTATGTAGGTCAAACAACCCACTCACCTTCCCTTGCACACAATCTATTTTTTTCTGGAATAGGAGGTCATCTTTAAAGATACATACCTGAGATTCCTTTGCCCTTGAAGGTTTTGGCAATGATTGCAGTTGGCTGGTTCTTCACACCAGTGAGTGCTTTACACAGCTCTTCCACGCTGTGCCCATCCACAACAACACTATGCCACCTTGAACACAAAGAGAACATCAAAAACTCAAAAAATTTTGCATGATTAATGGAAATGAATCCTATCCTATCCTGTGACCAAGTCACGTAATGGTGCCCAAGCCAAATTCAGTACTTCCTCCTCCAGGTCTCTTTATAGCTTGCTGTCCAGTGACGGAATATGTGAGAAGAATTGCCAGTAGAAACTGATACGGATTCTCTGACTCTAAGGGCAAAGGTACTGACACTAGGTGGAAGAGAAAAAATCAAGTCCAGGTAACAATAAGTAACAATACAGTGGAGTTGATTTACAGTATTTTCTGGCGTATAAGACTACTTTTTATACTTAAAAATATACCCCACAAATTGGGGGTCGTCTTATACGCGGGGTATAAAATGTGAACCTTGAGTTTGTTTGGGTCAAGCTGGCTGGATGTGTGGTAATACTGTACATACAGTATACCGTGCTGAGCCAAGCTGGCTCAAAACAAATGTCCCTATGACAGATTAATCTGTCAGCCCGCTGGATGTGCGGTATATACAGTATACTACGCTGAGCCAAGCGGTTTCAAAATGTACCGGTACGTCCCTACTGTAATCAGCCCGCTGGATGCGTGTATGTACGGTAGCTGTGGCTACATACAGTATACACTGGGCCAATCACGGCGAGTGATGTATTCTACTAATGAATACAAAGCCTGCTCAGATTGGCTGAGTCAGAGAGGTGGGCTGATGATGTCACAACCTCAGCCAATCCGAGCAGGTTTTGTATTCATTAGAATACATCGCTCGCTGTGATTGGCCCAGCGTATACTGTATGTAACCTCAGCTACTGTACATACACACATCCAGCGGTCTGATTACCATAGGGACGTACCGGTACGTTTTGAAACAGCTTGGCTCAGTATACTGTATGTACCACAGTAGTATATACTCAGTATACTGTATATACCACACATCTGTCATAGGGACATTTGTTTTGAGCCAGCTTGGCTCAGCGCGGTATACTGCATGTACATTACTGCACATCCAGCGGGCGTTATATATACTGTATAGTGTATGTAGCCGAAGCTACCGTATTACCGCACATCCAGCGGTAACCATCTGATTTGGAATTTGATCCATATGATGACTGTCTTACAAATGTATCACAAGATGTCATTCATGAACTTATGATGTCAGAGGATGAACATGAGGATTTTGAAGGATTTTAAGTACCGGTAAGTCATAACCATTTTAATTAAAAAATCTGATGTTTTTAAATGGTGTTGCCTCGGAAGGGGGTAGTCTTATAGCCCAAAACCTGTGTTTTAACTGGAAAATTAGGGGGTCGTCTTATACACCCAGTCGCCTTATACGCTGGAAAATACTGTACTAAAACTGGAGAGTGTGAAATCTGGAGCAACTCTGCATAGAAACCAATCAGCTTCCAGGTTTAATTGTCAAAACTTAATTGAACAAGCTGAAGTTAGAAGCTGATTGGCTACCATGAACAACTGCACCAGATTTTGCACTCTTCAGTTTTAGTAAATCAACCCCACAGTGTGTTGGCTTTGGTAATCTGCCTCAGCCAGTGAAAACAATGGAATCTATTACAGTTTTACAATCCACATTACATAATCAATAATCTATATATAGATAAAAGTCCAGCTTGAGGTAAAATACGTTTTTAAAATTTTCTCAATACAGTGGGGAAGAGTTAGAAGCTCTGTCATGTTTTTATTACTGCCTGTGACCCCTCTGGGAAGATTACCCTCACTTTCTGTGTGGTCAACAGTCAAAGGGAAGGAAAATTTCCTTATAAATGTTGCAGACTGCAATATTAACCCAGAAGAGGTTCTTTCTTTTATGGTTGAAGTTAAAGAGACCATGTCAACAACTTAACAAAATGCAGGTAGAATCACATAAATGTATATTAAATTCTTACTTGCAGTGTTTTTCCTTTGCATTCAGTGATTTTGTATTCACTTGAGACTTTGAACTTGCTAAGAAATGTGACATTTCCAGGAAGAGTCAATTCCCTACCACAGCTCCCTACTTCCTTGTATGTCATAGCCCTCTCCTCTTCGGGGAGTGTCTAATTACTGTCTGTGCAAGCCCAGCTCCATCTCCTCTCTCCTCATCTCCCTACATATTCTTGATGTAGCTGCTGGGAGAGGAGCAAACACTATGTCTCTTGAGTGACAGCTCTAAGTTTGCTGGGGCTACCAAAATCACATCCAAGATGGCGGTGACCAGCAGCAGTAGGGCTTTTGGATGTTTACCCACAAGGTAGGCTGTTAAAGGTAAATAACATATAAAATAAATTCAATGCATATAAAATCTTTTTTGAAGATTTTTTTAAAATTAATGGTCTGAAAACAAGTTCTCTTTAAGGTAAAAATAAGTTCTGAGTTGGGCTTTAAAATATGCCAGATAAATCTGCAATCACCTACATGGAACATGTTCAGGAGAATTTACTAAGACTGCAGCAAGCAGAATACGGAGCAGCTGTGCATAGTAACCAATCAGCTTCAATCTTTAATTTTCAATGATTACCTGAACAAGTTGAACACAGATCCTGATTGGTTACTGTGCACAGCTGCTCCAGATTCTGTCCTCTTAAGGTTTGAAAAATTACCCATTTAAGTAGATGCACTGATGTAAAATGCCTACGGTACGCAAGTAGGTGAACTGATGTAACAGGCCTACTATACACAATTATATGCTGTATAAATACTAATTAAAATAAAGTAATATCTAACTCCCATCTTCTCCAGCAGATAAGTAAGCTGTACATATCACTCAGTAACAAGTCTTTTAAGTAACATCAGCATTAATACTACACCATACTAGCTGGGTTATAAAAAAAAATTATAAAAAAGAGAGCCCCGTAAACTTTGGGTCCAGTTGGAACAACACATGTGCCCCATTGATCTCCAACCTTACACTGGATACCACGTCTATGCAGCCCCAATCTTTTTACCCTTAGTGTTTTCACTAAACATGTTCTTTGCCTATGGGATCGCGGAATGTCTACTCACTGTCTCTCCAAATATGTGGGGCCCATGACTCCGTTCTTTGGGACCCCAGCTTTCCCCCCCCCCCGCTCTTTCTGCCCCCTCTTTTTCGTAATTTGGAATAACCAAGATCACAGGAGATTGGCCCAGGTCCTTCGCTCTGACCCTTCCTTTACTCTCGACGACCCCCGCTACATCCTGCCTCCCATCTTCGTTCCCCTGGTTTCAACGACAGCAGGTGGTGTCCTTGTTTGTTCCTTTTCCTCTGTCTCCGACGTTTTTGCTTCACCGACTGGCTTTGAACAACCCCTGCTCCAATCTGAACCTCCCATCCATGTAGTTTCCCAATTGAATTCAATCCTTCTTTGAGCATCATCCCTCGATCTTCCTCCTTATACCAATGCCTAGGAGGCAGATCTATAACTTATCATCTCCCCATTGGATTGGCAAAAATGCTTCATCCTGACCCACATGCTATCCCCGGCTTCCAAAACTCAGGAAAAAGGCTTAAAACTGCTAACCAGATGGTATAGATGCCCATCGCTTTTTCACTGCTTCGACCCTTCAATCCCCGACACTTGCTGGTGTTGTCAACGCTCGCAAGGTACCCCGCATATTCACTTTCTGAATGTATTTATTTGATATCCTGGAGAATTTCTGGCCAATAAGACTGGAGTATTTCCTATCCAAACATCACCTACCCAAAGGCCTCACAGCGTTTCTGGTAGGTCTCTACTTTGTGCTGTAGAGGGGCAGGATCACTTTGTCCAAGGCGGTTAACATCGATGATGGCTGTAAGGTTATCCAGCTTGTACAAACCAGCAAAGTTCATGGCTTCCCAGACAGAACCTTCTGAAGTCTCTCCATCTCCAAGCAAACAGTACACTCGGTAGCTGAAAACAGTACAAGAAAAATATTCTTTTAATTGTTCAGAATGTTATTTTCCAAAAAGGCAACTCAGCTTTACAATGAATAAGTGCTTATCATGCTAAAAATAAAAAAATATTGCTTTCACCTGTCCCTGCTGTCCATGATAAAATCTCCTCTATATTAAGCCATCCCATATGTGATCTGTAAATCACTTTTCCTCCAAAAGCCATGTGTGCTCTCTTGTGCTTTGTAATGACCTTAAAGAGTTTGTAAAATCATTTTTGTTATTAAATAACAAACATGTCATACTTACCTGCTCTACTCTTCTAAGTGGTACCCTATAGGAACCTATTTCCTATGGGGTACCACCACCAGGCGCACTCCCGAAGCCACGCTGCCTGTGTCCATAGACACAGACAGTGTGGCTTGGCTCCGCCCCCCATTCTCTCGTCACAGAATTTGATTGACAGCAGCAGGAGCCATTGGCTAGGCATATCAAGATCAGGGAGAACCTCTACAATTAGGCACAGCGCTGAGTCGAGTGAGGACTCAGGCGAGTACAAGGGGAGGTGAGGGAGTGATATCGTTACCTAAACATTATTTACATTAATGCAGGAAATGTTTAGGCTTTAAAACCACTTTAAACAAGTTCGCTATATTGCCCATTTATGTATTTATACATGATGATCCTTTTCATCCTTTATTCGCCACTTGGAGAGAACAAATTCAGCTCCTCTAATCTTTCCTCGTAGCTAAGCTCCTCCATGTCTCTTATCAGTTTACTTGCCCTTCTATGCATGCTCTCCAGTTCCCTGAGATCCCCTATGAACTGGTGCCCAAAGCTGAACTGCGTATTCCAGGTGAGGTCATATGCTGGGTATACACACATAGATTCTTTTGTTCAGCCCCATACAGCACAGATGGAGGAATCTCCTGCTGCAGCTATTGTAGTCTGACAGTCACAGCCAGCACCAGGGAAAGTGTCACCAAATCAGAAGTAACATTTTACACATTGCTTCCCGTTTTTTTGTAGGGGGGGTGAGGTCGCACTAGGAGGGGGCATACTCCAGGAGTCATGGAAAGTGATCAGGCAGCTTTACCACCACTGGATCGCTTTCATTAGAAAGCCAACAGTCAGCTTGTGGAGTGTATACACACACACTACCAGTGGCTGCAGCTGCCAAGATCCCTCCACTGTCAGCAGTGAAAGGATTAAAGACATGGTAAACTCTCCTACCTGCACCTTGTTTTTTTTCATCCGCATAAAATGTGCATTGATCATTTAGTTTCATGGTGCCATTTGTGAGCCTATATGCACAGCCTATAGTACAGTAAATCTTCACATTCCAGCGTCAGTAATTTGTCTTTGTGTAGCAACAAGAGGCATTTGGCATGGCACTGCACAGAGTAATGCATGATCTCTGTCTGTAGTCTGAGACCTGACACTTCCTAGGAAGAAACTACATATCCCATAATCCCTGGGTCTCTCTGTATCATGATAGGTGAAAGCTACACAGTAATTAGATCTGACACAGACACAAGCAGGCAGAGCACTCACAGACACCTAGGGAGCTCACTCATGCAGCTTGGAATTGATATGTTTATCCCATTAGCACTCCCACATTTGTGATGCAACAAAGAAGGGGTGACAAGGCATGCGCTGGACACTGCGTGACCTGAAACAGGAAGTTGTCCTATCAGCTTGGTGCATAGGGACAGCTAGCTGAAGCAACATATGGACATAGAGAAATCGATCAGCCATGACACTGAAAACTGCAACCACAACATGTGATCCCATCACTATAAGGTAAGACAAACAAACACCACAGGGAATACAACTACACTAATATCCACATAAATTAGCAAATACATTTGAAAATGTACAATGGCTTTAGGTTTTACAGAAATGGGGGGGGGGGATTTACTAAAACTGGAGAGTTCACAATCTGGTGCAACTCTGTATAGAAACCAATCAGCTTCCACGTTTTATTGTCTAAGCTTAAAGTGGTTGTAAAGGCTCAAGGTTTTTTACCTTCATGCATTCTATGCATGAAGGTAAAAAACCTTCTGTGTGCAGAAGTGCCCCCAGCCCCTTCAATACTTGCCTGAGTGTCCTCGTGATCTAGCGATGTGAACAACAGCCTCGGCTGTCCCGGGTCTCTGCCTCTCATTGGCTGAGACAGCAAGTGGGAGCCATTGGCTCCTGCTTCTGTCAATCACAGAGCCAATCAGCCAATGAGGAGAGAGAGAGGGTGGGGCCAACCCACGGCTCATGTGTGTGAATGGACACTCGGAGTAGCGGGTGCCCCCATAGCAAGCTGCTTGCAGTGGGGGCACTCAACAGGAACAGGGGCCAGGTGAGCCTTCGGGGGACCCAAGAAGCGGAGGATCAAAGCTGCTTTTTGCAAAACCACTGCACACAGCAGGTAAGTATAGAAGTGTTTGTTATTTTCACCCCCAAAAAAAGAAACCTTTAAAATAGCTTTAACCGCTTTCCCGCCGCCCTAAAGCAGATATACTGCTACAGGGCGGCAGGGGTGCGCAAAATCACACACATATATATATGTGATTTTGCATTACCAGGTAGGGGGCGCACACGAGCCATGCGCACCCTACCCATGCTGCTCTTTGTGGTCTCAGCTGTCAATCCCCAGGTCCTGGCTGGTGATTACTCGCTGGCACCTGGTGATCAAGCAGGATTACCGATGGAGGGAGAGAACTGTATGTAAACAAACAGTTCTCTCCCCTGTCAGTTCCTGCACACTGCTATGCATGGCTTTGCATAGCAGAGCCATGCATAGCAGTGAGCTTACAGTGAAGCACACACACACACACACAGTTAACCCTTTGATCACCCAGATGTTAACCCCTTCATGCTCAGTGGCATTAGTACAGTGTCAGTGCTTTTTATTAGAAACGATCACTGTATTGGTGTCACTGGGGATGTCAGTGACACCAAGTCAGTTCCCCCCAGTGTCAGAATGCCCGCCGCAGTCCCGCTATAAGTCGTGATTGCTGCCATTACTAGTGAAAATAAAAAAAAAAAAAATCCCAGTATATATACCATTTGTAAATGCTATAACTTGCATGTAAACCAATAAATTTACACGTATTGGGAAGTTTTTTTAGCAAAGAAATGTCGCAGAATATATTTTGGCCTAAATTTATGACGAAATTTGAGTTTTGAAATTTTTTTACTGGACATGTTTAATAGCAAAAAGTAAAAAATATAGTTTTTTTTCTCAAAATTGTCTTTTTTTTTATAGCGCAAAAAATAAAAAACGCACAGGCGGTCAAATACCACTGAAAGAAAGCTATATTTGTGGGAAAAAAAGGACGTAAATTTAATTTGGGTGCAGCATTTCATGCCCGCGCAATTGTCAGTTAAAGTAACACAGTGCCGTATCGCAAAAAAAAAATGGCCTGGTCAGGAAGGGGGGTAAATCCTCTGGAGGGCAAGTGGTTAATTGAACAAACTGAAGGTAGAAGCTGACCGGCTACCATGCACAGCTGCACCAGATTCTGAGTGAACCAGTTTTAGTACATCTCCACCATAGTTGTTTTCCTAAATTTGAAGGCTGGCCTCACCGCTGTTCCCCCTCCAGCCACCACGCTGTTCCAGCCGAGAGCTGACCTCCCCACATCGCAGAGAGATGACGGCTCTTCACCCGGGTTACCACCCCACCGTTAACTATTGTTAACCACGGTTTTTATGCTTATGATTACTTCACACATGTGAGTGTTTCTACATTTAGACTTGAATTAAAAGACTTATTGCACTTAGAGGCGCTTCTCTCCTTTTTCTCATCTACAGAAGTTGCAACAGCTTATTTGGAAGCCTTGCCCTCAGTGCCACACGGAATCCTACGCTCTTCATACAGTAGCCACTAATACCACCATCACCCCATACTACCATTTCCCAGGACTTTGCAGTGTTTGCGCTGTTACAACCCTCCCTCGTTTTCCTAAATTTGTACTGACGGTTTTTCTTCAGTTTTGATGAAAACAGAGCTTGGCGGTGTTCTTAAAACTGAGATTATTTTTAGACATGTTCATTGCAAGCTAAGCAAACCTGGCATTATGTAAGAAGAGTATCTCCCAGCGACGTGCCAAGGCTAAGAAAGGCGTTCGTGATAACACACACCTCCTCCTTTCAATGCCTGCAAGTCCCAGGAAAAGTTCAGGTGAGGTAATAAAAAGGCGGGAAGGATATCAAACGCCGCCAACAATACTCAGCTCACACAGACACTCCTCAACAAACACTGTGGTCATGCCTTTCTCCTGTCCTCATCCATCACAGCTCAATAATGGGCCATTTTGCTGCGAATGTTTATTTTTAAAGAAGTCAGACACCGGTCATGCATTAATGAATAAGAATCACCAGAGGCCCACTGAATGTGAGCCAAAACGTTCTGAAACTGAACCCCAGTCTTACCCTCTACAGTTGTGCAGACTCTTCTCCTGTACAGAAATTGCTTACTCTGATTGCACTCGTTGCCCTGAGCTCCTCATAGTGCACCAGGTAGATGGGGCCTGCCTTTTTTTACGGCTGGAGGACATCCAACATCATCTCCCACTTTTCTCCCCAAGCTTACTGTCCCTGTTGAGCCCCTTCATTCATTGGGGGGGGATTTACTAAGGATACAAATGGAGAAACAGAAAAAGGGCGCACTGACCTAGTGCATTATCGTTTAAAATAATTTAATTGAAGAAACAAAATAGGTATCATAATCACAATGGACATAATAACACAGGCATGTCAAACTGAACAAGATGTATGATCCAAACAACATCTGAGTCCATACGATGGAACCCTGGATGACCAACTGGCTAACGCGTTTCGAGGACACAACCTCTTCCTCAGAGCCAGGGTGGCTCTGAGGAAGAGGTTGTGTCCTCGTAACGCATTATCCAGTTGGTCATCCAGGGTTCCATCGTATGGACACAGATGTTGTTTGGATCATACATCTTGTTCAGTTTGACATGCCTGTGTTATTATGTCCATTGTGATTATGATACCTATTTTGTTTCTTCAATTAAATTATTTTAAACGATAATGCACTAGGTCGGTGCGCCCTTTTTCTGTTTCTCCATTTGTATCCAGTGTATTTGGACCACCCCGGTCTGTTGAGGGCAGCAAGCAGTGCATATTCCAGAACATTCCTATTGGGTCTACTGAGTCCTTTCCTAGCGCAGGAGTAAAGTGTTTGTTGTGGGGGATTTACTAAAACTGCAGCGTGCAAAATCTGGTGCAGCACTACACAGAAACCAATCAGTTTCCAGGTTTTATTGTCAAAGCTTAACCTCCCTAGCAGTCTGATTACGTCCATATTTCTGTGCTCAAAGTGGTACATTTTTTTGCATGGAAATATGTCTTTTTTTATTGTAGGCCTGTAATTTTTAGAAATAACTCACTGAAATCTGTCCAAACAAGAGTCTAGTAAACATCCCAGGTATGATAAAATTTGAAACATGGAATCATAAATTATAATATAATAAATAATCATAAAACATAATAATAATAAAAAATTTAATTTAATAATGTAATCAAACCAAAAACACTGAAATTTGAAATATAGCGCCAAGTTCGCACATCACTGAACTTAGTCGCAAAACCGTTTTCAGTGTCTGATGACGAATTTCCCCACGAATCATTATCACTCAATTCTGCAAGTGGTTCTGATTTACTATCGCTATTCTCTAGCTGGTCTAAAACTGCTTTTTACCTAAATGGACGCTTTTTGGACGCCATGGATGTTTCTCAGTTTCCAGGCAGAAAGAACAGTAAAAATGCAGGCAGGGCGCAAGACAAAGCACTCGGGACAAAATGTATGTGAAATGGTTTGATACAGTAATGTTTTACTATGTGAGTTTAGTGTATTGAGTAAATGTCACTTTTTAAATTTTTTAATTTCCCGCCGGTTCCATCTCCCATACGTCCCAACGCTCGCAGGGAACGGAACCCGGAAGACGGATGCCGGCATCGCCCGGAGGATATGGCCGGGGACTCTGCAGGGGGGACATCGCGGGAGCACAGGACAAAGTAAGTGCTGGAGGGATTCCCTGAGCAACGCTGCAGGGTAATCCAGAGTGTAGCTCAGGGTTACCGATTCTGGTACTGAAAGTTAACCCCGAGCTACACTCGGGAATACCACGGGGGGGGGGGGGGTTAATTGAACAAGCTGAAGTTAGAAGCTGATTGGCTACCATGCACAGCTGCACCTGATTTTGAGTGCTCCAGTTTTAGTAAGTCTCGCCCCATTATGTTTCAGTTCTTTTCAATTTTGGAGGCTGAGCATCACATGTGGGCATTACCTAGGGCAGTCTGCCTAGCATTGCCCACTCCTTCAAATGGGCACCCACTTTTGAATGAATTTTTATATCTGCACAACTGCCCTCAGAACCCACCCCTGCTTGTTTCCGGACTGTGGGCACTTGAAACATTTTCAGGTAGTAATGTAGAGCACTCTGCCAGCCAATCCTACCCGTCATCACATAGAAAAGCACAGAGAACCAGTGAGTGATGTCACTGGGTCTAAAATAAATGGATGTAATGTAATACATTGAAAACAGAATGATTTTCATTTAAAAATAACAATACAATGTTGATGGGGAATGAGGGAGGGAGAAACAAGGAAAAATGTAAGCAGATTAAATTTTAGCTTTAAAGGTTAAATTCATGTTTTGTACTATATGCACCCATATTCAGGGGTGTAACGTAAAAGCATGGTACAAATGCAACCCCCCCAGTTACAACATACAGGGGTTCATTCTCCCCCACCCACTCACCTGTAGCTGCTATAATTTTTTTTTTAAAACAGTGTGGCTGTGCGGGGCTCCCCCACACAACTATGTCACTCGCAGAGATCTTTGAATGAATGAACTACAAGTCCCATCTGCCAACACAGTAGACTGGCTTACAGTTCTCAGTGCAGTAATCACAACACTCATAATCAATTGACACTTCCACCAGCTTTGCAACTGAAAGCCTGTATGGGCAGAGAGCTGGAGGAAGAGTCCACAGGAGCCTGGCATTGTACCCACAATCCACTGATCATAGGTGCAATACTTTGCAGGCTCCCATTAAGAAAATTAATAAATGCACCTTTTTGTGTCCTGAAAAAATGTGTGCATTTGTGTCTTTTTTTTTTACAGGTAAATGTAGCTTTTAAACAAAAAAAAAAAACCTTTGAGTTTGGTGAAAATACATATGCATATACCAGCGCACTTCTGCTAAAAGTTGAGCGTTTGTCACGTAACCAAAAAACATTAAAACAAAAACAAAACTGCCCAAAGGGTAGGCAAAAAGTGGTTACTATCGATGACAAATATTTACTAGGCATAGATATCTTTTGCAAAGACCACCAAATTGAGCATGCTTTTTTAAGCCTCTAAATTGTTGAGTTATTTTAGTGCACTGAAGTCTCTTCTTGATTATTGAGCCCCTAGAGATCCCAGATTCACACATGGATGTTACCTTGAAAGTCATTCTAGACAACATAAGCGGTGTGCTGCCGCGATATATAACCCATGTGTGAATTTCTATGCGTCCGGACGTTTTTATTATTTTTGTTTGTCTAGTATGTTTTGTATATTCATGTTTTCTATGTGCTGAATCTATTATGATTGATGTTTGCATCCACGCTGGTGTTTAATTCAAATCGAATAATAAAACTGTTGGTTTTATGATACTAAGTATTAAGACTCATTTTCTGCGACAACTATACCCAGTAAATATTTGTCATCGATAGTAACCATTTTTGCCTACCCTTTGGGCAGTTTTGTTTTCATTTTAAACGTAGCTTTTAAAGCCCAGTTTTCAATGAAGGGTTAATAGCACAGTATATATCATTGGCATAGCTAGCACCAAGCACTGGGGGGGAACACATTCTCGGGGTCTCCTCCTCATTGACTTGGTTCAGCAATGCCCTGCACTGTCCTACTATATGGGAGTCCCTGCACAGTTGTGGATTATGGCACCCAACATTATGCATAACATACCAGCAAAGTACCCCACTTTCCATCACATATCAGATCCGAGTGACAGTGCAGACTCCTAGGCTCTGATGTGTCATGACACAGCCGAGGAAAAACTTCCCCTTCCTGTATGTGCACTGCTCTGCAGAAGGTATGGTGAATGCTTGGCAAGGGGATGCTGGAGAGATGGGGATGTTTGAGCTAGGGCTGATTTTTGTGTTGGGTAGTGGGGATTTCTGTGCTGCATAGTAGGATTTCTGTGCTGAGGAGTGGGGATTTTGATGGATAGGAGTGGAGATTTTAGTACTGAGGAGTGAGGAGTACTTAGGAGAAACATTTTTAGTGATGGAGAGAGGGGGGGGGGATTTTTGCTGGGCAGGGATTTTTGTGTTGCAAGGGAGAATTTCACAGACTGGGATGAAGGTGAGATTTCTTGGAGAACAGGTATTTTTTGCTGACTGGGGGGAAGGTTTTTTCTTGGGGTTAGGTTTTTTTCTAATTCAGTGGGGATAGTTTTCTTTGGGGGGTGGTTGAGGTGGATTTGTGCTGATGGGGTAAGCAAGGTTTTCTTGGATGATTGGGGAGGAGGGGGGGGGTTGATCGGGGTGGATGGAGAGAGGTTTTCATGAACAGGAATGACTTGCTTGGGATGGAGAAGATTTGTGCTGGGTCTAGGATTGTTGCATGGGGAGATGAACGGGGTGGGGGATCTGTGCTTGGGTGGAAGGGCACATACCCCGGACCCCTGTACTTGTTACATTACATACTCCGGATTCCTGTACTTTGTACAATACATACTCCTGACCCCGACCCACAGTCTGTACTCTACTTACTACCAAACCCTATACTTGTGCATTATATACTACTTACCCCTACACTCTGTGTGTTACATACTACTGACTCCTGCCCTCTGTACTCCTGATTCCTGCACGCTGTGTGTTACACACCCTCAACCCCTGCATTCTGTGTATTACATACTACTGACTCCTGAATTTTGTATGATATATTTTCCTAACCCTGTACACTGTACAGTACACACTCCTGAGCCATGCACTCTAGCTGCTGTAATATACATAACATACTCCTAATTTTGCATGGGTACAACTACTGTGGCATTCGTGAAAAAGGCTTAGGTTCCATTTACCATATTTCTTGAATCTCCTCCCACTGTTAGAATAAATTGACCCTACACACCATTTTTCACTGTGGTGCACTGCATCATCGCATCCTTCGAGGTACCCCAGGGGTGCCCCAGTTCTTTTACAATCCTAGAAATGCCCTTGGTACATGTGCTTCATCCGACTCCACTTAAAATTGTTTGCTGGAGTTGCCTTTTCAGAAGACCAATCATCAGGGTATTCAGTGCCCATCAGTAGATGTGTAATCCTCCTCCATTTATTTTATAGCTCAGATGCAATGAAGAGATGGTGATTCTGAATAACATGATTGATCTCTTTTCAATAATGACACCTTTAGGCTACGTTATGCTAATTAAAGGCAGAAGGATACAAGGAATACATTTAGATGAAAATAATGCACAAGTGAAGGAAAACAAATGTCTGTATTAAAGAATAGTATTTGGATGGAGTAGCCTTTTTTGGAAGATTTCTCTTCAATTCCTATTTTGTAGAAACAACAGGACATAAGAGAAAATCTCTCAAAAGTGAGGCCTTTCTAGACAGTTGTCATTACTCAAGATAGAATACAGGACACAAAAGAAGGACAACAAAAGGCCTGTGTGCCATTACCTTGCTTTATCAAAGTATTTTCCGGTGTAAGCCATGCCGGCAGCAGCCCCCAGCCCCTGTCCCAGTGATCCTGTGGCTACATCTGTAAATTCTTGCCTCTAAAACAGAAACAAGCATGGATTAGTATGAAAGTATATTCGGCAACATTTTGTACAATTTCATCTCCCATTGAAAGCTAACTATTAGTTTTAGTTTTGGAAATAGTTAAAAATATAATCTGATTATACTCAATAGGATTTTATTTTTGCTTTAGCTGGGTGGAGGGCCTACAAAGGAAATTGTATGTTTGGGTGCCACAGCTGACAAGCAGCTAATTTGGGCAGCAGTCTTGTGTATATGGGTACCACCATGCATCACTAACCATCCAATGTCATTGACTCTAAAGGAAAAAAAATTGTGTGCAAATACTAGGAATCCAGCACCAGGGGTGTCTTGCTGCTCCTCCCTAAATAAAGTCACTTCACATGCCCAAACATATGTGATGTGCGAAACAGAGCTGTTAAACACAATGCCCTGATGAACACCCAGGTGGACAGAAACTCATCTTTTCAGTAGGAGCTTAAAATTATAAAGGTCAAAGTAATTGTTCCCCTTAACCAGGGTAAATCAATCATCTCTTGCACTTAACAGTATAATACAGGCTTCAAGGGAAAGGTGCGCGGTGAACTCTCACCAAAAAGTAAAATGGACCCAATGATGGACTAACGTTCAAAGAGGGTATAAGCACAAATACATCCATAGTGCTCTCAGTTTAGCCTAAATCTGAATTCTAGCTTGGACCAATACAAGTATATATGTGCCATGCCTGTGGAATCCCCTTGTAAGCAGGAAATCACAGTGATCTCCACTATCATACAGGTCCTTTGCTGAGTGGCTGCCCTGCTGCTTAGCGAACACAGGAGGTTGTTTGCTTGTTTGGCACAGGCACCATTCAGAGAGCAATGCATTTACCCAATTAATGCAAAGAGTTCTCTGACTGGTTGAGCTGGAGAGGCAGGCATGTCACAGTCTCTTTCTTGTCCAATCAGAGAATGCTTCGCGTTCAATGAGAAAATTAAAAGCGTTCTCACAATAAGGCTAGGTTTCACATATGTGCGGGTGGTTGCCGATGTGGATCCGCACAAAAATCCACCCGCACAGAGGAATGCGGACCCGCGGGTGGGTGCCATTAATTCTAATGGCACACCGCCCGCACTGGAAATCGCAACCGTACTGGGAACCAAGGTTCCCGTGCAGGCTGTGTTTTCAGAAGAAGTGCAGGGACTTCCCTGTGTGTCCCAGGGCATGGGAGTCCATTCAAATGAATGGGCTCTCATGCCCACACAAAACGCAGTCCGTAGGAACGCAGATATGTGATTCAGGGGTCAGAGAATTACTTCCCGTGTTCACTAAGCAGCAGGACAGCCTCTCTGTATGAAACCTGGATGTTAGCAGCAATCACTGCAGTAGCAATGCCTGTTACAGTGATTTCCAGCTTTCACTGGGATTGGCTGGGTATGAAAAATACATACTTACATTGGTCCAAGATGAACCAACATAACTATGCAAAACTATCTATACCTGGAATTCAGTTTTAAAGTGGTTCTACAGTCAAGATGTTTTTTACCTTAATGCATTCCCTGAATTAAGGTAAAAAAACATACCCCTACCTGTTCTGCCCCCCACTCCTAAACATGTACCTGTCTCCTCTCACCCATCCAGCATTGCCCCCCAGCTAAAGCACTGCTGCTCTCTCTTCCTGGCCTCACAGTAGACACAGACAGCAGTGGGAGTAATAAGGCCACCGCTGCTGTCAGTCAAATCCTGTGAGGAGCGGGGGCGCTGAATCATGTTGTAGGTGTCTATGGGTGTACACAGCCCGGCTCGGAGTGTGCACACATGGGTGCTCCATTAGCAGCCAGCTTGCTGAGGGGGCACTCAGAGGAGAGGGGGAGTGGACAGTGCTGGCAGGGAACTCCAGGAGAGGAGGTAAGGGACAGCTCTGTGCAACGATAAAAAACCTTTGCCTTTAATATCACTTTAAGATCAATTTTTATTAAAACCTTCTTTTTGGAGAGATTCACACCTTTCTATGTTATACTGTGAAAAGTAAAGATGATTAATTCATCCTGATTAAGGAACATTTGTTTTGATTTTTATCATTTTAAGGTCCTATTCGAAAGATGAGATTCCGTCCAGCTGGGTGTTCACCAGTATAATCACACAATTGTATGGACATATACACTCACCAATCACTTTATTAGGTACACCTGTTCAATTGCTTAGTAACACAAATTTCTAATCAGCCAATCACATGGCAGCAACTCAATGCATTCAGGCATCTAGGCGTGGTAAAGATGACTTGTTGAAGTTCAAACCGAGTTTCAGAATGCGGAAGAAAGGGGATTTAAGTGACTTTGAACGTGGCATGGTTGTTGATGCAAGACCAAGCCCACACCGGGTGTCACTCCTGTCAGCTAAGAACAGGAAACAGAGGCTACAATTCGCACAGGCTCACCAAAATTGGACAATAGAAGATTGGAAAAACATTGCCTGGTCTGATGAGACTTGATTTCAACTGCAACATTCAGATGGTAGGGTAAGAATTTAGCGTAAACAACATGAAAGCATGGATCCATCCTGCCTTGTATCAAAGGTTCAGGCTGGTGGAGGTAGTATAATGGTGTGGGGGATATTTTCTTGGCACACTTTAGGCCCCTTAGTACCAATTGAGCATCGTTTAAATGCTACAGCCTACCTGAGTATTGTTGCTGTCCATATCCATCCCTTTATGACTACAGTGTACCCATCTTCTGATGGCTACTTCCAGCAGGATAATGCACCATGTCACAAAGCTCAAATAATCTCAAACTGTTTTCTTGAAGATGACAATGAGTTCACTGTACTCCAATGACCTCCAGTTACCAGACCTCATTCCAATAGAGCACCTTTGGCATCTGGTGAAATGGGAGATTCACATCATGGATGTGCAGCCGACAAATCTACAGCAACTACGTGATACTATCATGTCAATATGGACCAAAATCTCAGAGGAATGTTTCCAACACCTTGTTGAATCTATGGAGAATTAGGACAGTTTAGAAGGCAAAAGGGGGTCCAACCCGGTACTAGCAAGGTGTACCTAATAAAGTGGCCGGTGAGTATAGTTTGATCACTGATCACATAGAAATGTTGTGTTCTCATTATCAAATTATATTTAGTAGCAAATCTTATACAGGAATAACCACTGAAGGATACACTTTGCTCTGGTTTTATTTTATTGTCGCTTACATAGCATACAGCACGGCACAATTTGAAGTTGTAAATTTTATGGATGAAATTTGATTTAGTTGCTTAGCTGCTGGGAGGTAATATTATTTGAGGATCTGGGAATATCACATTAATATTATAGATATATGGTATATGCTTGCCCAAACCTAGGCCATAAACATTCTAGAAATCTAATAGCCCAATGGCCAGATGGCAGGCTGACAACGCTGCTGCTAATTGCAAGCAGCAAGCTTAGAATTATCAGCCTGAAACAGGAAGTGCCCTTATGGGTAGAATATACAGGTAAGAAATTCTGCAAAAGATTCACGATAAATGATTTGCTGAAGAAAGCTGTCTACAGTGAGGATGCCAAACATAGCAAAAAAAAGGCTTTGGGTTTACATAGACTTTAAAGCGGACCATGCATTTCAAGCAAAGCTCTTATTTAGTGATAGCCCCCTCCCCTATGCAAAAATGCTGCTCTAAACTGAAAAAAAAATCTGCACAGGTTGACGTTACCATTTTTCCAATGAGATACCAGGGAATGCCGAGTAGTTCGAATCTCACAGGATGACATACCAGCACAGTCCAGGATTAGTGAGATTAGCACTATGCAGCATTTCCCTAGGATCTCGCTGGAAACATTGTGATGTTACGCTTGCTTAGGCGCCATAAATAGAAATGGAGAAATAGAAGAATATTAGAAACTTTTTCCTTCAACAGCATTTTAGGAAGGGGGCCTTCCCTATATATGCAGGTCTTGATATTTAAGCAAAGCTAAATAAGGAGGAGATTATTTTCCAGTAAACTCCTGAAATATTTACATATGTGTTCATAGATAATCATTCATCCATCTCTTAATTAAAGATGCATAAAGTAATACAGGCATGGTATGTTTGCTACAGGAATATACCAACCGGTACTGGATGTCCCTCCAGGATGGAATCCAGCTTTCTGAGGTTGAACAGTTCTGATTCAGGCACAAATCCGGCCTCTGCCCAGGCTGCATAGAGAATGGGAGCTGCATGACCCTGGATGGAGACAAATAATGTATTGCCTTCATATTCCCACAGACTTTTATCTTTTACTTATACAAAACACACCACAAAAAAGAGTAGACAACACAGCAACATGTGATAGATGGAGCAGATGCCGCCATAAACAATCTGCTGTGCCCTCAGGGGATCTCTAGGGATTTAACTTTCCTAAAAATTTCCCACACTGTATGTTTAATATCTGCAGAAATAAAAGATATTAATGTAGTAAATACATGGGAAAAATATACTCTAGAAAAAGATGCCAATATTTTGTAAAAAGACTGGAAGAGTCTGCACAGACACAGAGAATAATTTATACATCAATAGTCAGGAAAATTACAAATAGAAGGGATTAATCACTGTTGCTATTCTACTTAAGAATCAGTGCCTTACAATGGTGCAAAGGTATACGGTAAAATAAACAATAATAAATAATAATAATAATAAAAAATAAAGGTGATTAATGCTAGGTTGAACTGTAGGCTTCCTTTGAACATGATGACATGTGTGTTCATGATTATTGCATAAAAGCAGTAATGAACCATAGTAATGTTCATGGGAGTTCAGAAGATGCTAGTGCCCTCCAGAAAAAGAAAAATTGCCTGTCTCAGTTTTGCAAACACCTACCTTGAAGTCCTATAGCAGTATTGAAACAATGTCCCGTGGACCAATGAGAATACAATTATTTTTCTGTCAAAAGTACACAGAGGAGCCTATAGAGAATGCAAAACAGTTCATAGCAGCACCAACCCTTTTCCCAACTGTGAAGCATGACGGATGGAATGCAATGTTTTTGTTATTTTGCAAACTCAGGACTAGGATAGCTTTGAGGGATCGAAAGATTCTAATCTGTATATGGAAATTCTATGGCAGGATATCAAGGTGTCCTGTAACTTTAAGCTAAAAAGAAATATTGTGATGCATTATAGTATCAATCATAAATACAGGAGTAACTAAACAAGAAGATGGCTTAAACATTTTATAGTGTTATCAACTCAGTTCTATTGAATTGCTGTGGCATGTTCTGAAGCAGGCCATTCAAGCAAAACACCATACACTATACCTAGACTAAAACAGTTTAGTTTACAGAAAAGAACAAGTATCCCCTAACTGCTGTTACCCAGGTATGATATGATTAACCACCTTAGTAGCTTTTTCTATCAGTCACTAAACAGGTTGTTCAAGAAAGAAATGGTATTGGAAAGAAATGTAAATAATATTGTATTTAATATGTATAATAAATATAATATATAGTGTAATATTATATTGTCAATAGTAAACCCCCCCCCCCCCCCATCCTCTCAAAAATACTTGCCTGAGCCCGATCTTTATCCAGTGCTGTGTCCAACAGCAGAGGCTTCCTCTGCTCTCTCTCCTCACTGGCTCAGAGGCAGCAGTGGGAGCCATTGGCCAGTGAGCCAGTGAGGAGGGAATGGGGGGAGGGTCCAAGCCACACTGTGTATCAATGGCCAAACAGCTCAGCATGGGATCGAGCTCCCATAGCAAGACATTTGCTATGGTAGCACTCAGAAGGGGGAGGAGCCAGGAGCACTAGTAGGGGACCCTACAAGAGGAAGATTGAGGCCGCTCTGTGCAAAACCATTGCACAGAGCAGGTACAATAAGTATGACATGTTTGTTATTTAAAAAAAAAAAATCCCTCTATAATCACTTTAAGTATTCACAAATATTTTATTATAACTGTATACCTTTGGGGCAGCTATTCTACTTTTGCATGTAATCCATACCTTAGACATTACGAAGCGATCATTGTTGGGATTCTTGGGGTCCTGAGGCTTATACTTCATGGTATGGAAGAACAGCACGGACATAATTTCGGCTGCGCTGCAACATGATGTTGGATGTCTAGGAATAAAATGAAACAATGATATGAGAACATAAAGATGACCCATAAGGAAACCCATTCAATAAACTACTGTCTGGTTTAAGGGTACATGCACATAGCACATAGATACATTCCAGATGCATCACAAAAGGCATGAAAAGTCTTACAGTTCATTTACTTTATAAAGCAGCAACAGCCTGAGTAGAAAAGCCAGTCCCGAAAAGCATACATGAATGACACTTGCTCTCTATGTGTAAGCAGTGGTCTCCCTTCAGAGGTCTGACACACCCCCTGCTAAGTCAGACCTACTTTAAGTTGTGGCTACTTTCCAAAGTAAACAAACTACAACACTTTGCAAAACTTTGTTTCGATGCACTTGGAATGTACTTAGCTGTTTAAGGCCTTGTTTACATGGGGTGTACTACAGTGTACACCTGTGTGAGGGTTGTGTTTACTCGCATGGGGATGCATGGTAATCCACTCATCCCCATGATGGCAGACGTATTCCTGTCTATTGGGACACAGTGGCTCCATGGACACATTTGTGCGGGCGCGCGTCCCTGAATGTACACTGTCTGCATTCGGGGCCAACCACCTGCATGGATGTACTGTAGTATGCCCCTTGTGAACAAGGCCTTAAAGCTAGGTTCACATCTATGCAGGTTTTGGTTGACACATTTTTCCGGCGTGTTTTGAGGTGCATTTGCATTTTTGATGCATTTTTTTTACACATTTTTTATGCAGTTCTGACAGTTCTGTTCATGCAGTGTGACTTTGATGCGTTGATTGGATTTTACACTCTCTGGCACTCAAGTAGCATCAAAGTCACATCTAAGTAGTGCAGGAACCTTTATGTGCCCAAAGTTGCATGTTAGGATTGGGGTTAAGGGCTAGGGTTAGGGTTAAGAGTAGCCCTTAAAGTAGAGTTCCACCTGAAAAAAAAAGTCAGCAGCTACAAATACTGTAGCTGCTGACTTTTAAAATACAGCCACTTACCTGTCCCTCGGTCCCGTGGTGTTCTCACTGCAGCTGGTTTCACCGGCCGTCTTCTCTCCCTGGCGCTGGCATCTTCAGTGTGGGCACCCGGCTGTGACAGCTTGTGGTTTCACAGGCGGGTGCCCACTGCGCATGCGCGAGAAGCGCTGTGCTTTGTGAATGACCCCGTAGTCTTCTGGGACCTGTCACGTGTCCCAGAAGACTACGGGGAGCGGGGGAAGGGACAACTTCCGCTTCCGATCGCCTAGGCAATTGCAGCGGAAGTGGGAGTGCTAATAAAAGGTGCCAATCCTTAATAGGAAGCGGGGGACAAAGGCTTAAAGCGGAACTTCTCCTTTTGGGTGGAGCTGCACTTTAACCCTAACATTTAACCATAACCCTTAACCCCAACCTTAACATGCGGCTTTGGACACATAATGGTTCCTGCACTACTTTGATGCTATTTGAATGCAGAGTGTAAAGTCGTATCAAAGTTGCATCAAAGTACATGAACAGAACTGTCATGCTTTCCTACTAGCAAAAAAAAAAATGCATCAAAAATACAACACTTGCGTTTTTGGTGAGGGTCAATTGAAATATGTCAATCTGCTGCGGGAAAAAAAAAAGTTCTTGACCCTTTCCAAAAAATGCACCAGCTCAAAACGCACAGATGTGGACTAGATCCATAGGAAACCATGCTAAAAGGACTGTAGTGTGTTTCTGCAAACTGGAAAATGCACTGAAATCCATGTACGTGAGAACCTAGGGTAAACTGATAGTTCACTTTCAATCTTAAATCTGATTGGCTGCTTTGAGTACCACTGCTTATAACATAATTATATTGTCAGAAATATCACAATGCACATTCACATATCAGGATAATGGATTTGTCAGAACAAGAGTTGCTGCAGTTGAACATCTGGTATTTATTTCCACTTAGGAAAATATGAAAAGCATACAACGTACTTCCAACATTCACTAATGATCGCCCTATACGCTTCTGTTTACACAAGTCTCATAATCCACATGCATGTTAGAACTTAAACATGCTGGAAATTCTGATTACTCATCCCTACAGTGCAAAATGAATGTTAGAGTTAAAATATACACACAGAAACAGAGTTCTCATCAAACAAAAATTAGTCATAATTAGTACATGCGGGTTTAACATTTTCAGTCCTGCAAACTCCACCCATACTTATCTAAATTCTACCGCCGTCTTCTCTTTACGTCCTGAAATAGTGAGTGGGGACAGGTGAGAACACACCCTTTAGCATAGAAATATGTCAGGAAACACATAGCCCTAAGGCCTATACAGCCCTGGCAGCTCCAAAAACACAAGATGAGTAACAAAAAGTGTTTTTTTTTAAGAGCCTTAAAATAAAATGGTGTCCTTGATCTAAATAAAGTAAAAATATTAAACAGCCATTCTGTGGTTATTTTAAGATTTCTCAAATACACTCACTATATGGCCAAAAATATTGGTCGGCCTGCCTTTACACGTACATGAACTTTAAAGGTATCCCATTCTTAGTCTGTAGGGTTCAATACTGAGTTGGCCCACCCTTTGCAGCTATACCAGCTTCAGCTCTTCTGGAAGCGCATTAGGTGAGGTACTGATGTCGGACGAGAAGGCCTGGCTCACAGTCTCCCTTCTAATTCATCCCAAAGGTGTTCTATCAGGTTGAGGTGCAGGCCAGTCAAGTTCCTCCACCCCAAACTCGCTCATCCATGTCTTTATATACCTTGCTTTGTGCACTGGTGCGCAATCATGTTGGAACAGGAAGCGGCCATCCTCAAACTGTTCCCACAAAGTTGGGAGCATGAAATTGTCCAAAATGTCTTGGTATTCTGACACCTGAAGAGTCCATTCACTGGAACTAAGGGGCCAAGCCGAACCCCTGAAGAACAACCCCACACCATAATCCTCCCTCCACCAAACTTTACACTTGGACAAATGCAGTCAGGAAAGTACCGCTCTCCTGGCAACCGCCAAAGCCAGACACATCCATTGGATTGCCAAACAGGGAAGCATGATTCGTCACTACACAGAACATGTCTCCGCTGCTCTAGAGTCTAGTGGTGGCGTGCTTTTTGCCACTGCATCCGACGCTTTGCATTGGTGATGTAAGGCTTGGATGCAGCTGCTTGGCCATGGAAACCATTCCATGAAGCTCTCTGTGCACTGTTGTTGTGCTAATCTTATGGCCACACAAAGTTTGGAGATCTTTAGACTCTGCAGACAGTTGGCGACTACTGCACACCGTGCGCTTCATCATGCGCTAACCCCGCTCTGTCATTTTTCGTGGCTGAGTTGCTGTTGTTCCCAGTTGCTTGCACTTTGTTATAATACCACTAACAGTTGACTGTGGAATATTTAGTAGCAAGGAAATTTCACGGATGAACTTATTGCACAGGTGGCAACCTATCACGGTACCATGCTTGAATTCACTGAGCTCCTGAGTGTGACCCATTCTTTCACAAATGTTTGTAGAAGCAGTCTGCATGCCTATGTACTTGATTTTATACACCTGTGGCCATGGAGGTGATTGGAACACCTTAATCCAATGATTTGGAGGGGTGTCCCAATACTTTTGGCAATATAGTGTACCTTAAAGTCCAACTCTGGGAATTACAAAAAATATTATCCTTGCAGTCCCTGTTTGGAGACAGCTAGCTTGAGCAAGGAATAGGGTAAGTCTAACATAGTATTCCTCATCCCCTAAAGCAGTGGTCTCCAAACTGCGGCCCTTTGCTTGCCTTTATATGGCCCTTGCAGCACTATTCCTTCCACTGACACCAACAAAGGGGCACTATTTCTCCCACTGACACCGATGATGGGGCACTATTCCTCACTCTAATACCAAAGATGGGGCACACTCTTTACTCCCAGTGACCTCTGGACATTTTCTACTCCCAATGCCCACACTTCGGCCCCCCTAAAGTCTGAAAGACAAAAAACTGACTCTTTGTTTATAAAGTTTGGAGCACCCTGCCCTAGAGTTAATAAGCATTTACCCCTTGAAGAGCAAGGGGCCCACGGCAAAGGTAGTTTTTTTTGCAAATCTCACAGACGGGCTTTAAAACATATCCAAGCTCAAAAACTAAAATTGAATATATGGCAAATTACCATTCTGCAGTCAAGGTGGCTGCATTAATTTTTTTAAAGTGTTGCTAAACCCAGGACCCTGCATTCACTATATCTGGTCTTCCACAGTACATAGAACATGGAAATGCAATTATTTTAGTAAATGTAGGATTTACAGATTTAATGTAGGTAGGATGAAGGTGAGCATTGCAGCAAGTTCTTCTTTTTTGAGGACGGGCTGTGCAAAAGACTATTTTTTATAATTACCTGGAAATCAGCATTACTCATGCCCACAAAATATTCCCTTAATACTTTATTACAAACTCCCTCAATAGGTGAACCTGATCTAAGGTTAATGGACCTTTAACAATACCACCCAATAATCTTGATCATGATAGTTAACACAAGAGTGACATTTGCTGTGTCTTTAACACGTTGCTGATAACCCCAGTTGGATGCTGTTTCATAACAGAAATAATTCTTGAACAATTTCATGGATTGCGCTGCTCTGAGATCAAGTCTGAAATAGTTCACCATCCTTCCCTTTATTGGGCCCCTTACACAATGGCCACATGTGTCATAACAGGTCAATACTTCCACAATGTGGTCAGATGTGATCACTCAGTACTGTGCTAATCATGTTCCTTTCACACTACATAAGATTGCCCCAAGAATTCCAGTGGAGTTAAAAATGCAAACTCAGTATGATCGAGCTGTTTTAGGACGAGGCAAGTAAAGGCTGTTTACAGGCCTGACTACCCACAAGGAATGAGAATGCCAACTCATCACAATCTAAATCAACAATGGCAACAATTCTTCTGGATAGATATTAAAAAGGAGTTAGACTGGAAGGAACTAAATATAGGCAACGGCATACAGACAGTCCTATATGCTGACATTTTAATTACATTTCAAAGGGTTTTTTTCTGGTATGTACATAAAATGCTGCTTTTCTTT